AGATTTACTATACATATTTTTCATGTTCTTCTGGTACAAATATTAAAGATTTTATTAACGAGGTTATGTTTAGTGATGCCGCCTATGGACATTGGACACTCAATGCCAGAGGGCTCGCGAGTGCGTTGCCGGCTTTAGGATTGGTACTCTTTTCTTAAAGAATCCTAAATACTTCACTGAGCAGCTGGTTCCACATAGTGGTGTTACGCTCAATTGTGGAACGACGGACGTCGAGGTGATACGGGTGGAATTTCGTATTCTGCCTCGACGTCCGATGATGAAACTCCGCTGCAGAAATTAATTCAAAAAAACGTCAATAAGCTATCTACAGTGTACACCTATTCAGTTTATGAAGTTAAAGGAAATCGCAGACAATGCAACAATGATGTCGCATACTAAATATTTAGAAACAATGCCACAGGTTTTAATATTGACTGAACAATTAGGTAGACTAGCAGTGTTGGCCACAATAGGTTAAAAAAAGAAAATAGAACACAATAAAAGCACGTCTGATCGGATAAGAGTTAGGAGATCGACTGACTTAAGGGGAAAGTAAGGTTGTTAATGCATGGGGAGAAATGATGACGAGGGTATAGCACAGGATATGTTGATATATGTATTGTTTGATGATTTGCTATTTTAAATGAGTACCGAGAGTTTTTTACGCCGGCTTTTTCTCTCGGCCTACACCCTCTGTCTTCTTTGCCGATGAGTAGGGATGCCTACAAATTCAAATTTAATGACGTGGAATAAGTGATACCTGTATCTTATGTTCCATAATAAATTTTATTTATTTTATGTCAGCAATATAGGATGTATTGATGTGTTGGAACAGTGCGATTCTCATCCCTGAGATCGTAGGTTCGATCCCCGGCTGTGTACCAATGGGATTTTTATCCATGTGCGTATTTAACATTCGCTCGAACGGTTGATGCTATGTTGCACGAGATTCGAGAAGACTATTTTCCGTTTCAGCAAAGGAAGGTTGAGAAGATGATTAAGATAGTGAGGGAATGTTTAAAGTTTAAGAAAGTGGTTAAAGATGAAAGGGCCTCTAAAGGACAAAATCTACTACGAATGTTTAAAAATAATTATTGCTTAGTGAATGCAATGAATGCGTATTTTTTCTTAGCCGCTGTAGGATTTAGACATTAGACACTACATCGGTCATCGACTACAAAACAGAACACTGCGAAATATGAGCGGTGTGCCGTGGCTGAACTCCAAAAATATTTGGGAATTATCACTGTCGAGGAAGACATTAAAAGATCAACCGAACAAGACACACCCATAGCTTCAGACTTCTCGTTTGCGAGTTACATAAGGAAAACGAATAAAAGGATTTGCATTCCCCAACTCCTTCAAAATCAAAGTCATAAAATCTGATGATCATAGAGTATGATTGCAGATGTGTGAAGGAAAAAAAATGTAGGCTTTAAACCGTGATGATTGCTCTTGCCTGGCCACAGTTCATTCCTTGGTCTCTTTAATTTTTAGGCAAGTAGGTGATCACTTTTCTACCTGCCACACATAAGTCTGTTCTGTCTGTTGCAGATGTTTACTCTGTTACGTTGATTAAATGTATACAGAAAATTTCCTTATGCACAAATCATACATATTTTTAAGTCAACGGTTATAAACATCTGTCGAATTAGACATGGGGAGAAATTGGCTGTGCCGAAAATCTATCTGGAACTGTTTAGGAAAAACACCTTTTGTATGGCATTTACAATAATTTACCAAAAAAAATAAAAGATCTTCCGACTAGAGTTTCTAAAAATCGACTTAGTGTATTACTTTTGAAAAAAAATTATTATTCAATAAATTAATATTTGCGTGAGATACTGTAGTTGATATCAATTTAATAACGTATGATATGTACGATACAAATAATATAAGAATTGACCAATTCATATAACTAATAATGTAAAATGTAAAATTCTTTAAGACAAATTTGCGCGCCATTGTGTGTGGCAGGATATGCGAACTTACGATTGTACCACCTTACACATTTTTGTACCATATTCTTGCAATAAATTATTATTATTATTATTACAATTACGATAATAACTGCTTTATAGAGTAGGTAATGAAAGTTTTATCATCAGTCCAGGAATTTGTTGCTTGATTATTATAAATTGTTAAAAATAAAAACAAAAATTCAAAATGCAAAGCTTTCTTCTATAATATTATAGAAGAGATTTATTTGTTGAACTTCAGTGTCTTAGAACTTCCCTATACACAACATTTGACGTATTTGTATTGTGGCAGCAAAATAATTTTATGTTCTGGAGTTACGGGATAGGCCAACGTACAATTGCCCATGGGTGAAACATTATTTCTGTAGATATTGATACGTTCTATAATACTGTCCGACATTTTTTGGTTCTATTATGAATAGTTTCCACAGCGCAAGCGATGACAATTTTTTTATGGATAATTTTAAAAGAAAATAAACATGGACCGTTTTACTCCCCAAGAACGTGGAATAATCGTGTCAATGTTCTTACGGAATAATTCATCAGTGATAAACACACAACGTGATTTTTGTTTGCCTTGGCCTGCAAGATCACCCGATCTGACCAGTCCAGACTTCTTTCTTTGGGGTGTTTTGAAATCTCGGGTGTATGTGAACAAGCCACAGACTCTCGCAGCTCTAAAAGAAAACATTCATCAAGAAATAAGGAACATATCGCAGGAAATATTACGGCAAGTTATGCAAAATGTCATAAATAGGGCTCAAATGTGCATCAACTCTGGAGGGCACCATTTAAAAGACATCATCTTTAAATCCTAATAGTACGAAGTTTAATGGCACAAATATACATTAAAAAAAACCTAAATCTAGTTTTCTAATTTAGAAAAAATGTTATAGCTGAACCAAATAGGGTCTTTACTTTTGCGCCACCCAGTATGGGTATAAGGATATATCAATAGTTTGAGTTAGTAACAATTCGTTAGTTGCTGTTAGTTTTGGTGGGACAGATCATACCAATGTTTTAAGATATGCGTAATCTTTGTAATCAACTCATTCAAGATACCATTGGTATGCAAGATACATGCATCAAGATTCAAGGCATTTCCGAATGATGGCATTAAAACCGTCCGTTCGCATACCTATGGTAAGCCCAGAGCCGTAAACGTGTTAGACTGAATACGGAGTATTCAATGCTTGTAAAATTACACAGATGACAGAGATACATTGGTGAGGTTTGAACACACGCCCCAAGGGTAAATTGCGCACCTAGCCACTAGGCATATAGTATCAGTGGCGGATTTACCAGCAGGCTGAGTAGGCTGGAGCCAATGGCGGAAGATTTTTGGGGCGGCATTTGGTAACGAAATTTTTTGGCAATTTTTTTTTAATTGCAGAAAATTTATTTCCCTCTTCTCTCTACCCCTCAACTCATACATGTCAGTCCTACTACTGGTTGGAGGCTGCGAACTGGATGGTTTGTGTATAATTTTCTCCTCAAAGATAAAACCCAAAATTATGTTACGTGCAGTTTTAACGAAATTGTTGCATTGTGGAGGCAAGGGCTAATTAACTTCACAGCCATTAAAAAATTTAAATCCTCCACTGTATAGTAAATTAATTGGGGAATACTGCACTGTAACTAGAAGCATAGTTATTTTATATTTAGATAAATCAACATATATATGGCGATACGTAACTTTCTCTTAGTAAGTTACTGTATATAGTTATATTACATTTTCCGCAGCTATACATACTTGCGCTTTAGAAATTACGGATATATAGTATGTATATACATATGGGTTGTGGACTTGTGGTTTTCATGTCTGCATTAAATCATTTTAATTTTTTTTACAATAATGGTCACAAAAGAGACTTTACATGAATTACAATCTAGCCTAATAATATTATTATGTTGACTTAATTTTCTTTAAACTATTGTTTATTAACAGTGTTATTGTTTTATGGCGATTAAAAAGAGTGGCGGAGAGTTTATTGCCAGTCCTTCTCTTCCGTTCTACGCCCGTAATTTGAGAACTGGCAGTAAATAAAAAAAAAAGAAATATACATTAAATTAGAAGCATTTAATGTATATTTCTTTTTTGTACATTGTGTTACCTACATGAATAAATGATTTTTGACTTTTATAATGTTTTAACACTATGTTCGTGTGTCCGAGATGGTTTTAAACGTATTTTGAATAGTCTATACATTGGTTGTGAAGGGTACTAAATTTGAGTCAAGTTTTATATCTCCGCGCGCAATATGAGATGTTGCACCTTACCTTGTATTACTTCACCTTAAGATCCAGTGTTATTTACATAAAAAATTATTCATGGACATTAATCTTTCAAAATTACATCAAATAATTCTGAGTCACGTATCGATTAAACCTAAGGCGACGTCATAAGGAAAAATTGCCTTGAATCATAGAACAAATACCTACTAACGATTCAATGACCCAGAGCTATTGCTACTTCTGATTCACATTTAAGGTCCTTATTAGTTATATTTTCACTTTACACTTGCACTTCTCGATAAATAGTGCATTGGAATAGTTTTTTTGAATGGATTCGAATTATATTTTGAATCTGGAATTCGGGGGTATTTGTACTGTATAGGAATGGAATTTGAATATGGAATTCGGTGGTTTTGCATTTGACAGAAAACAGTAATGTGAATATGGAATTCGGGGGAATTTGTAATTGATATAAAAATTAAAATATTATTTTGAATATGGAATTAGGAGGAATTGTAATTAATAAAAGGTAGTCATTTGGAATTTGGGGGTTTGTACTGCATAGAAAATTGATTTAAATGGAATTAGGAGGATTTTGCCCTTGATAGATAACAGTAATTTAATTATGGAATTCGATGGAATTGGTAATTGATAGAAAATTGTATTTTGAATATGGAATTAGGAGGAATTTGTACTTAATAGGACACGACAAGATTAGAATTAGAAGCAGTATGAACGGAATGCGCAATGAGCTACACTTCAATCAAACAGGTGACAAGTACTCACACTGTAGGTACATATTCCGTCGGGAACTCATTCCTTGTATACACATATAGCAGGCATGTCTTGCCCACCATACCATCACCGACCACAGTAATTTTCAATCTCCTTGCCATTCCCATAATCCACAGTCACATATTAAACTTAACAGGTTCTTATCACAATGATGTAACGATCTTATCACTAACGATAACGGTTTGACGGCGCGCGCGCACAGTTTCGCGGTTGAATGCAAAGTGTTCAAAATAGTATACGAATGATTCAACTGATTTGTCATAGCGATGCGCAAGCGACTGCCCGATCCGTCTCTGAGTTACTGTAATAGCAGTATATGTACCGATATTAAGAATAGTACAAATAATACTGTTCAAAAATGAACAGTAGAAATGTTGTGCTTTTTTTTATAGAACGGGCCAACGAGCGGGGGGCATATGATGTTAAATGATACCGCCGCCCATAGTTTTTGCCACGCTGTGCGTGTATGTGGAATCAGCTGCCCACTAAAGTATTTCCGAACCAATTCGACTAAGGGACCTTCACAAAAGGAGCATACCAATATTCTTAAAAGGCCGGCATCGCACTCTTGAGCCGCTTGAGTCTCTGAAATTCAGCCTTAGTGTCTTGCGATTGAGAACTGCGAACTTTATTATCATTGTTTATACGATTAATACTTAAAGATAAAGTTAAAAACGATGTGAGCCGTACAAACATAAAAGACGTCGTAACACATACGAAGAGTTAAAGTTGAAATTGGCCGGTCACATTTCCAGCATTTGTGATGGCAGATGGGTCAAGAAGACCCTTACTTGGAATAGCCCAGCGAAGAAAGAGAAGACGCCCACCAGAAACATGGGTAGATGGAATAAAAGGTACAGCGGGCAGAATTGTAAAATTGTCGCGAGGAATAGAGACAAGTGGAAGAATTTGGACGAGGTTTTCGCTAGTACTAGTGTAAAAATTAAATGACATAGACTTAGTATAGTTTAGAGAAAGGCTATTTTTATTTTTATTTTATTATATATTAGATATAAATTCCTAATTAAAAAAATTTACTGTATTTTTACCAACCTACTGTATTTGTACTGTATTGGGGCACATGTCACAATATTTGCAATAATTATTCTGTGGACGTTTCCTGACCAAACGTAACAACAAAAACGTCAAACAATCGTTTTGTTAACCATAATTAACGATAAAAGGCGTCAATATTTTGCATTGAACAAAAACGTTGCGTATGTGTATATATCTTATAACTATTAAATTTAAAACGCGATATCAATGTAACAATTATATGTCGAATATAGCCCGTTTAATTTCCAATCTTTACATTAGATTTATATTAACTTGTTACCTTCCTTCAGTTCAGATCGGAACCCCTTCACGGGTAAAGGCCTTGAAATGGGCCAGTCACATTTCTCACATTTGTAATGGCAGATGTATCAAGAAGATCCTTATTTGGAATGGCCCAGTGGGAGGAAGAAAGAGAGGACGCAAACAAGAAACTTGGGAAGATGGAATAAAAGGGATAGCGGGGCAGAAAAGAAAGAAAGAGAAGAAGTTATTTCTCTATTCACTTCCTGCTAACGCTTCTATTTCTTCTAACACCTTAATCGAGGCGCCCTCTTCTCCTTTGCCTTGGTCCATTCCATAATATAAGGATAAAGGAATAAAACATATTTCATCTTTAAACGATTGCTAATTTTAATTTTAAAATATTGTCATAAATGGTTATTATGTAGATTCATTATTAATAAATAAATTAATTAATATAATTCGATTTTATAATTTTCGACCATGGTTAATTTAACAAGATTTTAATTCATTTCAGGTTATTTATTAATGAATAAAATTGTAATTGTTATGTAGAAATTGTTACGACAAGTCCTTAAAACAAATATGTCAAATGGAATCCTATTACACTTTCTCGTTTAACTAAACATTCTTTTTTATTATATAATATAAGTTTAGATATAATTACATGCCTAAAACTTCCTCATGAATCATTTTAAATATTGGAGAAACCTGTGTTAAATTCTGTGTAATTTTTGAGTACTTTACCGCGAACATACAGATAAGCGGCGGACTTGTTTGTATATAATATAAAAGTTTGCATTGTTACGGAGACGGGTTGACTGCAATGTTCTTGAAATTCCTACTAGGTACTTTGAGGCGTTTTCAGCAAGCTGAAATGTGATTTGTAGCCTTTTCATAATTCGTGGTGACTGGTGAGGCTCTATAACATTCTAGAAAAATGTAAGTTGCTTAAACTTAAAGTTACTTTCGATTTCAGGGGGCTGAAACATTTGTTCAGGCTGTCTCAGATAAAATGTAGTCGAGTGGTACAGTTTTCAATAAACCCGTTTTCAGGACGGCATGATATGCGAAAGAGAGAGATCGGAGCCTTCTCGAAGCCAGACTGAATATTCTAGAAAGTTGAATGGCAAGGGAGCGATGTGCGAAAGAGATAAAGAGTGCGTACGTTCTAGAATTGTGCGATAGGGATAGAACATCAGCTACTCAGTACCAATCCTGCTTAGAAAAGTTCTCGAACATCGATCAAGAATATTCCCATATATAAGCGGGCCAAAACTCGACCTAAAATTTGCACGCCCTCTACGCTCGCCAAAACAGGCCGGGCTGTAAAGGCTCTTAAGGCTAACAGCAAGATTCCATTAAAAAAAAAACTAAAAATTCAGTTCCGAGGGCAATTCCAAGAGATTAGCATCGAAGAGATAAATTGCGAATAGTGAAGACAAGTGATAAAATACTGTGTGAAGTGCGCGTAATTGAAGTAATTAGTGACCGTATTTTCTCGTGTGATGATTAGTGTATTTCTGCGCGTAATTTGCGTATTTTTCGTATAATTAAATTACTTGGTGATTTATTTAAAAATAAACTATTGAAGAGATCTACGGCGATTTCTATCCAATCCCCTAGCTCGTAACAATATGACAGATATTTTTGAAGACTGCGTTCGTAATAAACGTTTTCATTCATCCAGTTCTTTCTCCGACTTTGCAAATCCGACTACCACGAAAAAGTGTTTGTCGGGTCTCATATATGACATTCACATATAACGTGGCTTTTGGTAAAAGAATTTTCAAGATTGCTTCAGTAGATCCAGGGAAAACCTAAAACCTTACAAATTTTACCTCATTATAATACTCTTCTCTCTTCTCGTCACAACGTAAATACTATTAGACAGAAAGAGACGAAGGTGTACGTTAGCTATAAGAGAGTGAGTTGTATTTGGTTATATTAATAATCGAAAATTTAAAAAAAGTTGAGAGAACGTTTTTGCTGGCTTGGTTTTTTTAAAACAATTATCAGTTTTCATCCTATACAGCTTCTCAGCCAGTGGACTGTGAAATGTGTTTAATAGTAAATTTATAAATAAGTAAAGGATTACTGCACCAAGAGACCTAAGGTAATAGACGGAGCAGTACAGATAGGAGCAGAGGTTCAAAGAGGATTTTCAAAGCGCAGGGCTTGAACTCTTCGCCACTTTGAGAGGAAGCGAGGAATAAATAAGACAGAGCAATATTCAAATTTTATTTATTTTAATAAAACAACATATTAAATACTACTTACACCTATTCACGCAAGTGTACATTACAAATATCACTTGTTTATTAATTTTGTTATAAGGCATAAATCTAGTTATATAGTGGGTTAGCAAATTAAATTCTTCCTATGTTATTACAAATAAGAATCTGTATAAGATCGTAATCGTGAAGCTGCTAGTCGATTTTAAAGTCGCATGTCGTGTTATTCACAGTATAAAAGTGTTAATTGCGCACATAGAAGAAAAACCCTATTGGCACACAGCTGTTATTTCACACAATCTTAAGGTTAAGACGGTCTCGGTACTAACTACTCGGTGCTCTCAATATTGGAAATATTGCTACTATAGATACTTAGGGTGAGATCTATAGTGCGCACTTAGACTTTGCTCTGACTTAACTATCGAGCTAAGACACAGTCGGTATTTATAGAGCAAACTACGAATCTCTCCCTAGTGTTGGCTTAGCTTAATCTCAAGTCCACGAAATCGACGACTTACCAAAAACTTTGACTATAAGCCTAACAAAAATAATGGCCCAAAATTTGCTTTACCATCATATCTTTTACTGGACTTTTTATTTTTGTCGGTTTTTAATGAACGGTGTTGCCATTTTGTATCGGAGTTCCATAGACTTTGGGAAAAATAGAATTTGAATTCAAAGAAATTATAAATGATCTTGATAAATACCTATGAAATGCATGAAATAAAATAATTACACATTATTATGGTATTTATTGTTGTTTATTTATATTATTTATGTAATTGTTCAAACCCCATTTTTGAGAAATCTTAAAAATAACTGGTGTGATTTTGTATGTCACCTGGCAGCCCTGGCAATTGGCATATTATAGTGACAACGAAATTCAAACTATAACCTAACCAAAACATTGCGATCCGTTCTACGTAATAAAATTATTGTCATCTTTAAATAATTAATACATTTTCTAAAGGTTACTCGTGAATTTCTAGTTATTGCAATAATAAAATAAATGAATACATAAATAACAATAAATTGAAGATATATGTGTACCGTTTTAGATTTTTAAATATTTGTTATTGTTAACTTTTTTAAAGGATAATAAACAAAGTATTGCATGAAATGAAACATCAATTTGTATTTTGACATTTTCTGTCTTAGCTTGGGCTTAGCTTAATCTCACCGTTAAAATGTCTATAAATACGAAATCATAGTTTAACCTTAGTGTACACTAAGCAAAGTTTTTCGTAAGGTAAGTCTGAGCAAAGTCCAAGTGCGCACTATAGATCTCACCCTTAGAGTCATAGGGTGTACGCGTATAATTATAACTGTCAAAGTTATTTAACTTTCGTCCATGGAGACTGTTTTCTTTATTTATTTTTTTTAGCTATTATTAAAGAATTTTCGTTATCTGTGTAAAATGATTGAAACTTGTGTTTTAAAGAATTTTACTCTAGTTTCGCCCTAGGCAGATGTTATAGCTTTTTCCTTTGAAATAATAACCAGAATAATAGACAAAGTGAGCATTATTATTTTCTCTAAGCAATCACACGCTTCTCTGTCAGTTTTTAATTGGATGTGCACATTATAATGTAGACTGACGTGTATAAAATAAATCAATAGTGAAAATATTTACGAATTGGTAGTGGGATTTACCATTTTTAAAAGTATTCATTCTTTTGGACCAATTAAAAAACAGGTATCATTTCACAAATTGTAAAAACACATAGGTATCTTATATCACATATGTTATTATGGAGTAAATATAAAATCCCCTATTAAAGCACCGCGATGACCTAGGTACTGTACTGTGCATACAGGTCTTATAGACATAGTTACTTTGGATATTGTTTTCCTATTGCAATATCTGTTTAAATGATTAAAATGTTAAATATATTGATTGTATTGCTAAAAGTTAAAGTATTGATATCGATCATTTCATAAGATTTTATTCCTTCTTTACTCGCCCAACGTCTATCTTGTTTGCACAGATAGTTTTTACAGGTACGAAGCGGTAACTGGCAACTTTTTACTCTGTTCGAATCATGTTCGCTGTCACTACTTAAATCTCGATCATTGCTGTCAATTGCCATTACGAAATAGTGTTTAGACTTAAGACGTTTTCGACGGATGACCAAAAACCCCAAATAAATTATTGGACATAAATTTGTAAACTGTAAATATCTACTTGTCCCGTCTCAGTTAAATTAAATATTTGTTTCGGAATAGAAATGAACATTGTCTAAATCTGAGTGAAACTATAAACAATTAACTTAAAGATCTTAATAAATTGGGACGTAAGCCATTAGCGTTTAGCTACGTATTGAAAATGAAACGCACCTATGATTCCATGAGTTCTTCAATTGAAATAAGTTCCTATCGTGATCAGCATTTTAAGGTATTCAGATGAAAATTTTAAATATATACTTTGCTTATGAACGTACGTAGTTATAACCTCAATTACTTTCAGGGTTCTAGAAACGAACAAGAAAAGTTACTAAAAGCGTCGTCGACGCTATATATAGGCAATTTATCATTTTATACAACTGAAGAACAAATTTACGAATTATTCTCAAAATGTGGTGATTTACGACGTGTCATTATGGGTTTAGACAAATATAAAAAGACACCTTGTGGTTTTTGTTTTGTTGAATACTATGCTAGACCAGATTCTGAAAATTGTATGAGGTAATTGAAGTGTACAGCATATTTTAAAAGTACAATATTGTACTTTAATTGAAATGTTAGTTAGATTATAAAGGTTTTAAAAGTTGTTTATATTTTAGATACATAAATGGAACTAGGCTAGATGATAGAATTATCAGATGTGATTGGGATGCAGGCTTTATTGAAGGTAGACAATATGGAAGAGGAAAAACTGGAGGACAGGTAAAAGTGGAAATCTTGAGTAAATGTTTTTAAAACCTCCAGAAATTGTTATAGGATAAAGCCAGCATTTTTTAGCGTTTATGTTTAACAGCATTAATAATGTACATGTAAAAATGGTTGTGGTTTTTATACTTATTCAATAATACATTTTTTTATGTTCACAAGATATGAGGCACTTGTATTGTCCAGTAAAGAAAGTTAAACAGAAATAGGTGTGTCACATATATGCCATTTGTATATATGTTTTAATATATATTGCATTTTTATAACACTTTATACAATTTATAGGTTTTGCCCTAATCATTAAGTTTTATTTACTGAATAAGGCTAGTGAACATTGTAAAAACTATATCATTAGAGATATTACTTACCATTTAGCATAATATAAGCAAGTTTTACAAAAATCAGATATACACTAAATCATTAAATTAATGTCCTAATATTAATGTTAATAATTAAATCCATAACAAATCCCCTCATGTTTCTCAGTTAAAAGCCAATTAAAATATTGTTCAACTTTGTTCTATATTCTCAGGTCCGTGATGAGTATCGTACAGATTATGATGGTGGACGCGGTGGCTATGGAAAGATAATTGCCCAGAAAGTAACTCCAAATACATTAGAACGTTGAGTGAAATTATAGTATATGGATGAAAGACTGTATTTATAAAAAACAAATTCAAGTGAATGTTTTTAGGATTAATAAAGTATTTTTTATAAAGCCAATTATTGTTTTTAATGTATTTAACATTTAAATAAAACCTCTGATGTATATAAATACGTGTTTATTTACATAAATAATGACAAATATGTGTATAAGTTAGTAATTGATGTTTTAGATAAATATTTGTATGAATAATGGATTTAGGTCAGCAAAGGCTACGTGAGTATGTAATACCACAGACAAAGTAATGTTGCTAATAGTCTACCTTAAGTATTAGTCTAATCAGATCAGTTGTTTTAATAAAATGTTATGATAAAAGCAGTGGCACTTTACCTCTTTATTAGTCAAGACCTCAAATAGCTTTGATTTTTGTAGGCAAATCGGTTTATTGAGATTGATACAAGTCAACCATTTTAGACATACTGGTTAAGTTTCACCGATATAGTTAGGGTTGCCACCCGTACTTTATAGTAAAGTATTGTACGTTATTTCAGGTAATTGTACACTATACTTTATGAGAACAATATACTTTTTATAAAACTTTATTTTGCATGTGATTCCTTTAGTTTTAAATATTTTTTCGTTAAATGGAAATTATCGATTGGCGCTGAATCGATGTTTAAATATAGATTGATCCCCGGCTGTGCACCAATGGACTTTCTTTCTATGTGCGCATTTAACATTTGCTCGAACGGTGAAGGAAAACATCGTAAGGAGACCGACATGTCTTAGACACACAAAGTCGACGGCGAGTGTCAGGCACAGGAGGCTGATAACCTACTTGCCTATGATTTGAAAATGATCATGAGACAGATTCAGAAATCTGAGGCCAAGACCTAAAGAGGTTGTAGCGCCACTGATTTATTTTTTTACTAATTTAATACAAACTGCAAAAAGCAATAAAAAATAAATTGTTCCTTACTTTGATACTAGGTACATATGTAATTTTTTTTCTTGTGTACCAATGTACTTTTAAAATAAGGTGACCCCTAAAACTTAGTATGTATTTCCATGCACGAGCTTAGGGGTTTTGATCATAAAACAAAACAAAAGGTCCAGGTCATACAGAAAAGTTGGGAGTAATAAAAAAAACTAATCAAACTTTCATAAATTTATTTAAAAGCGTTCAATTATCTGTAAAACATTTAAATGCAAGGTTCCTGGCAATTAAATTATAGCCAGTTCAATTAGATGCAATATTTTTTTTAGTTTATCCTACGAATACAGGTGCAAAACCAAAATTGCCAGTTATATCCAGAATAATAGACGATAAAGCAGCTAAGTCAAACTCTTTGACAATTTACATCGGTCCACACACTGAGAGAAACAGATAATATATAGCGAGGTGAATAATGAGGGAAGTATGTTGAGTTGGGCGGCTTAGCACTTCTTCATATATTAATTTAATGAAAAAATTTTTTTATAAAAAAAATCTAAAAATATAAACGTCTTTCAATTTTTTATAGAACCAGTTTTCTCTTAAGGTAAGAGATTGTCATGTCACGGTAAGTATCGAATGATCCTTATAATACATAAATAAATAACCATTTTGTAGAAGATAACACATTTCTTTAAATTGTATATTAGTGTACCCGTAGCTGTCACTTCTTTTCGCCAATAGCTCATACAATGTATTCATTTGAGTTAATACAGAATTCATGGTTTCATTTTCTGAATATAATAAGTCAATTAAAACAATCAATAAGTATTATATACATTCATTGTGGTTCCTAATATATCGCAGACATTCATAAGCACAGTTGCAAAAAATAAATTTTATTTAAAAGCTAATTAATCTCTGGGCGCAACTTCGGGGAGAAGGTCAAACCATAGAGTTTTTGCTTCTCGAAAATCGTATTGATTGAGATGTACGATTACCTGGAAGAAATATTTTTTTAATTTAATAAACTAAAAAGTAACTTTATATAAAGTCTGGCTAATGAAAGAAGATAATTGAATTATTTGAAAACTTTCCGTTGGCAACACAGAATGTCATTAAATTTCTTAGGTTAGTATGATTTATAGTCTTGATACTTCATGCAATTACTCTTTTTTATTTCTATTGTATAATTTTTCCGAATAGTTAACAGGTATAATAGCCTAAACTTTGTTTTATTTGATAGAATATTTCGAATATTGAGAAAATGACTGATCATGTTGTACATGAGGAAAATAAATATAAAGAAAGTATCAAGTAAGTTTAATCCACAAAATATATCAAATTTTAGGGATACCATACTATTTTATTTTTATTTTGCCGCGCTTTTTCGTTACCTTCTTTCATTAGCCAGACTAGAATATTTACAGCTGGAGATATTCTATACTACCACAGATGATAAAATAATACAAAAACATAACATAGTCATGAATAATAAATAAATTTGGTCAATATATTCTTGACGCCTTGTTGTATGTACAATAAATATAAACGACTTTAAAACAAATGGTGACTTTCACCGGTATAATACTCGAAACAGAATTATTCTAAGCGTACGACCAACCAGGCTCCAGAAGATAAACCACTCCTTATATGGAAATTGTATTCGTTTTACAATAAAGCTTGGGATTGATTTGCTCCAGTTCAAACAATTTGTATGACTCAAAACTTAGCGATTAAAAAGAGTGGCGGAGAGTTTCTTGCCAGTTCTGCTTGCCCGCTGTACGACCTTGATTTGCGAACTGGTAGTAAATGTAAATTTAGAATCAATTTAACATCTAAAAAGCAGACCGAGTTTCATCAAATGCATTTCAGTAATTTTCAAAATATCACATATCTTGAGGTACAACAAAATATGTTCCCTAGTCAATACTATGTTAAAAATGGAAGGTTCTAAATTTAGATTTATCACCAGTTTCCAAATGAAGGGCGTAGAGCGTGCAAGAAGAACTGGCAATAAACTTTCCGCCACTCTTTTTAATCGCTAAGTTTTGAGTCATACAAATTTTTTGAACTGGAGCAAACCGCTTCATTAATCGCCTAGTAAAAGAAAACTGCACCAAGCTACAGATAGTGCAATCCACGAAGACGCGCCCCCACTATTCCTTCTCACCGTTTATAGTATATGTTTGCATAGTATATGCTTCTATCAATGTCGTACACACGCACACTACAATGAATAGACTAATTAGAAGAGAGTGTTATGGTCGAAGTGAATGATGCTCTACTTCAATTTTATATTTTTGAAGTTATACTTCTTTAGGCGCGTTATGAAAAATTGATGATAGTGAAATTTTACGATGCGCGAGCACCGTGACACAAAATTAACAGAATGAAGTTGCCCACGGAAGATGCTACGGCATTGGACATAATTTAAAAACAACATTCGAATTATAATAGAATTTATGTTACACTTAATGTAAGAGAATAATAATAAATATTTATTTATTTAATTTTTCAAATGTAAACTGAACTTTATTGACTATAATGACTCCTTTTCCAGTCTTTGATTATTTAATTGTAATTAATTATTTGCATGCAATCAAAAACTATTTTTAATAATGCCAAAGAAGTATAACTTCTTACGCGCGTACAAAAGTACACGCACCCTTTTTTTAACCGACTAAAAGGAAAGGGTTCTCCATCGAGCATCAGTGAGTTTTTCTGCTTAATTTTTGTCTAGTTACTTGTAAACTTCAAGCAACTTTTAAGAGCAACTTTCGTGACGACTAACTCTCGGAGCAAACTCCCCGCACCCCGCGATCCCCTCAACCAAAAATTGGTGGGGCGCGTCTTCGTGAATTGCACTATGTATATATGATTATTACCTGTCCAATAACCGGACTTCCGCCAAGAAAGCCTTTATGGGTGGCAACAGTGACCTCCACTTGTCTTGAGTGCAGCTCAGCGTGTGGAATCACCCATTCAAATGTCTCGTCATATTCTGGCATACAACTGTCCTTTACGATCTGTGATAAAAAAAGCAATCTTTCATCTTTCTCTCTCAAGTTGTGATTACGCTGTGACGAACAGAGAGAGAAGAATCAATAAAATAATTTATATACTTTAATTATGAACGTTTGGGCCCTCTAAAAAAGATTCTGTATTTATTTAGTGATCAATAAATATATAATATTTTTTAAAATATATATAAGCTTTCTGTCCCCGATAAATATATTTTTGGGACGGTTTCCACATGTTTTCTTTAACGAGTAAGTCGCAAGGTATTCGCATGACAACACTGCTTTATAAAATTCTCGTCTAATATATAAATCCTCGTGTTACAATGTTCGTTCCCATACTGCTCCGAAACGGCTCGACTGATTCTTATGCATTTTTGTATTCAGTAAGTCTGAGAATCGGCTACTATCTATTTTTCATACCCCTAAGTGATAAGGGTTGTCCCCCCCCCAAAATTTAGTTTTTTGGACGAATTTTTTTTTTTATAATGTGCCTTCAAAAAATACATACAACCCTGAATTTTCACCCCTTTACGATAAATCCCTATTTTTTATTTGTTTATTAAAATCTTATGACTTGAACTCTGAGTATTTAGAGAAAAATTTCACAGAAAAACCTTTCAAAAGTTTTCATTCCGGAAAACCGAACAGTCTCTGAGGTAGCATAGCAAAATGTTCCATGTTGGTATGTACTAAAAAGGTTGGCTAGGCATTAAGGAGAAACGAAGTTCGCGGGGGCAGGTAGTAATTTATAAAAAGTTGGTCCTACGAACAAGAATCGTAAAACAAAGTGCTGCCAGCATTAAAGAGAACAGTGCTATTGGTTTCGTTCGTTCACCAATCCCAAGCACCAATGGTTTTTGTTACTACGACAACTTAGTGCAGGTGCCTGATTGGAACCCGCAAGAACAGCCTAAGTGTGGCCGTCCCAAGCAAATATCACGTCGTTCAGTTGCTGATGAAGCAAAGAGAACCGGAAAGACTTTGAGCGAGGTGGAATTGCCCTCTGCCTCATCTAGGTTATAGTACATCAAGTCAAGTCAAAGTACTCAACTTAGTTGAGTGTCTTCTATGTGATTGCAATGAAATTATAAATCGCTGATTTTAAAGTAAAGTCACCAGACAAGATAGCATGAAGCAAATATCAATTCTCCAATCATACACACACAATAAAAAATATTTCTTACCAAAGTCTTGCGTTTTGACTCCTTGGCCCTTCCGGGAAGCAAGTAAAGCTTGACGTATGGGTCTGGGACGTTCGTGGGATCCTTCAAGGGGATGTTCCTAAAAAATGCACATATATGTCTCAATGTTATGGGTCTTTGCTAGACGTTTTTTATAAGAGGGGGCGAATCTCGCACATCACCGACTTTTTTATGGCTTTTGAGGGCGGAGTAAGCTCTCTTTTTAAATATAAATGAATCGAGACATTGCTTAACTCAACGAAAACTCATTGCAAAAGTACGCCTCTACTGCGTGCGCGCAGTAAAGGAACGGCAACGGACTTTTGGTTTAAAAATAATTTATTTAAATCAACAGAGTGACAGCACTTAATTAAGAACTAAACAATAATCAACTTAATATCTATTTCTTCGTGCATTTATACATTCAGATTTACTTACTAAGTATTGGTCGTTGCTGACGCACGACCTACATTCGGCTTAGTGCTAGCAAAGCATATATTAATAGGGTTGGTACTCTTAACTCCTCCCTCCCTAAGAGAGAAATTATCCGAAGGGGCTAAAGGTGACTTCGGAGAATTTCTTTATTGCAAATAGAATACAATTTAAACTTTAATATTATAACAATTACTATTATTACTACTATAAAATAAAGAACTAATGTCCATACACTTATGTTATGTGTCACCACACTTTCCACCACTATTTCACTATTGCTATTTCTCACATTATTTAACATTTCTTTTACGTCACTGAAGTCCACGTTTGTCAAATCTAACTTTTTATCTGCCGTTGCTAAATCTTCCTGAAGTTCGGGAATCACCACCAGTGGCATCTGTATATTCACATCCGATACATTGCTTGATTGACCGAAGATTGTTCTGCCAATTTGCATGTTGCACCCTTGACTTGGCGTCACGATGTAAGTCCCCAGTAAACTGAATCGACGGACGTCGTTTCTGCAGTGTTCCGACAAAATTGTCTTATCTGCTGTGAATATCAACCAGCTATTGTTCATTATCTTCTGGATTTTTAGCTTCTCAATTCGTATTTGATGTTGATGACATAGGCTGTAATTATTCTTTATTAACATTAATTCCTCGATACATGTTTCCTCATTGTCTGTTGCCATATTTTCTTCTGAACATAAGTATTTGTTGTCTTCTATACTCTCGCAAGGGCTCAACACATTTCTGTATTTCAAACCATTCACCAAAAGGTAAGGATATTTAGGAATAATTGTGTAAGTTTTAGAGGATTTTGTTATAGGAATGGGAGTAACCTTGTAATAGTTATACGTTTCTGATTCTATCAAAGGAATTTCTAATACAAATACTAATTTATTCTTATCAATATAAGACTTTAATATAATATTACGTTCTAATTTAAGTAAGTTGTTTTTTGTTACTGGATAAATTGTTTGTGCATGTTTTTCTATCACTTTAAAAACGCCTAATAACTCTGTAGAATTAATAATAGATTGGTGTAAAGTGTGCAATTTACTAAATGCAATAGCAGTTTCAATTTCTTGTATGCTCTCATAAATATAACGAAAGTTATTTAGAATCTGGTATAAACTATTCATAGTACGAATGACATTACTAATTTTAATTTCTTTTTCGACTACTTTATCAAACTCATTTATTTTAAAATGTAAATTTTCTATATTATGATTCATTATCTCGGATATATTGGCTAAAGTAGCAAATGCTTTGTGCATAGAAGATACTTTAATTTCCGTCAAGTGTTCTCTATTACTTATCTTACTAATTTCCTCATTAAATTTAACAGCATCTTCCTCGTCTAAATTTCCAGTTATGACTTTTACTAAAGAACCCAAAGGACTAAAAATAGCACGTTTCCTCATACTGTATGGAAGTAACTGGTGAAACTTATTTTCTACTATTTTAATTAATGTATCTATTTGAACTCTTATTACAACTAATTCCTTATCTAAGTAATTAACCATTATTAATTCATTTAATTTATTATATAGTTCTATATTATTACTTATTTGTATACCTAAAGTTTTAATGTCTACTGTTTTAAAAACTGTCCAATAACTATTCTTCATTACTGCTACTCCAAATTTCATTGGGATGATTCCTGGATTCTGGTCCATCTTTCGAAGTTCCAGGCTGTGGACTTGGCTCTCTAGTATCAGGAGTACTAGCCATGACCTGGGGAGGACGTTTTATATTTTTAGCAGCTACTCTGGTTTTTCTTTTATTCAACTCTACCGGTACAATGTTATGATTCGATTTTCCCACTACTTTTGCTTTCTCATAACGCGGCATTTCTTTAGCTTTTCTTGTTCTAGTAGTTTTCATGAAAATAGTATCACCTTCTTTAATATTAGATATTTCTTCACCACCTCTCTTGTTCCTAACTTTAATCTTATCCTCTTTTAATTTGTCCGCGACATATTCGTAAAGAACTTTGAGACGTTTCCTATGGTCTTGTAATAACTTTTGCATTAGATTGTGTTCTCTATTAATATCGAACACATTCCCACTATCAGTGTTTCCAAAAACAATCTCGAAAGGAGTGAATTCAGTTGCTGAATGAATGCTATTGTTGTATGCCATGATTGCATATGTCATTACAGAACAAGCGTCAAGTTCATTTTTATCATATTTAGCCAAACGGTATATTTCAATAATAGTTGAATGAAATCTTTCCACAATGGCCATCGAACTAGGATTATTCGGAGTTCCAATGTGGAATTCTATTTTGTACAACTTTAAAAGTTCCTTTATTAATTCATTATTAAATTCCGCACCAGAGTCACTATTTATTTTTTTGGTAATCCATACATGCTAAAGTATTTTATGAGAGCTCTAACTACTTCAGGAGTACTCCGATTTGGAATACTAATAGCTTGTCCTAATTTACTAAAAGCATCGACAATAGTTAGATAATATTTCTTTTCAATAAACAGAAGATCCATAAAAACTTCTTGAAACGGAGAATACTGATTTTGCGTTAACTGAATACAAGGATTTAATGGTTTCCGATCATACTTCATTTTTTTACACTGTTCACAAGCATTGATTACAGCGGTCACGGTTTCTTTCATATTTGTCCACCAATAATCTCTTTTAAGCTTAGTTAATGTTTCGTTTATACCCCTATGACAAGTTTTCCCCTCATGGTATTTTATTATTACGTCTCTCTGGTCAACTTCTGAGTCAGTCAGGTTAACGATTCTTTCTGTACACTCTACTAAGTTACAAGTTCCCTTTTTGTATAATTCTATAACTACCTTTGAAAATATCCTTCTAAATTCAGGACTTTCAAAATATATATAATATTTATATTTAAAATCTACATATTCCTTAAAGAAATCCTTCACTAGACTTTCTTTATTCAGTGGCATATGTACTTCTAATATGCGTTGCTTTCTATTTGAAATATCTTTAACTGAAATTTTGTCAATGAACCAAGTGAACACTAATATTTGTCGTGGTTTACAATCTATAGCTTCGTTTAAAATAGGTATTCCCTCATGTTCCCTATTTGACACTGAATTAGCGGTAGCACCGTCGTCTGAAATTTCTACCAGTTCTATCGGTTCCTCACATTCTGTGTCAGAGATATCCATTCTATTTTCATTTTCTAAATCAGACAATGACATATCGGGCTGAGGCTTTTTGTTCCTAACCGTCACAAACTCGTCATTAAGTTCTTGTATCACTTTTTGAAGTCTTTCGTCATTATCGTCAATATTAGCCAAAGTCGAGTCGAGGTCATCGTCAAGAGCATTAATTCTTATTCTAGACAAAGCGTCTGCATTTGTATTTTGTTGACCTTTTTTATATTTAATCTCAAAATCATATTCTTCTAACCTCAGACGCCAACGCGTTAACTTACTATTGGGTTCTTTAAGAGAATATAACCAATGCAATGGCCTATGATCAGTAAATATTGTAAACTTTCTACCATAAAGATACGGTCTAAAATGTTTCACTGCCCAAATTACACCTAAAAGTTCTTTTTCTATGGTGCTATACCTAGTTTCTGTGTCACTTAAAGTCCTACTCGCATAAGCTACTGGTTTATCATTGCCAATAGTACCCTGTGATAGAACGGCTCCTATAGCAAAGTTAGATGCATCAGTCGTTAATGTGAACGGTTTTTCAAAATCTGGGAATTGTAATAAAGGGGCATTTGTTAAAAGCTTTTTGCAAGTTTCAAAACTTTGTTTGTACTCATCATTAATTATTATTTTATTTCCTTTTTTTAAACAAACTGTTAAAGGTCTCGTTATTTTAGCGAAATCCTTGATAAACTTACGATAATAACCAACTAATCCCAAAAAGCTTTTAATTTCTGTAACTGTTTTAGGTATAGGGTATTTCAAAACTGCGTCTATCTTGTCAGTATTGGGCTTAAGTCCCTCACTTGTGATAGTGTGACCCAAATACAATACTTCTTTTCGTAGAAAATGAGATTTATCTAATTGAACTTTAAGATTTGTTTTTCTGAACCTATCGAAAACTGCTCTAAGTTTATCAACGTGTTCTGGTAAGCTTTTTGAAAAGATGATGACGTCATCTAAGTACACTAAACAATGCATGCCCTGTAGACCTCTAAGAACATTATCCATGGCTCTTTGAAATGTCGCTGGGGCGGTCTTTAAACCAAATGGCATTCTATTAAATTCATAATGCCCAAAAGGGGTACTGAAAGCTGTTTTCGGTCTATCTTCTTCCCTAACTTCAAGTTGATGGTACCCTGATGCTAAATCAAGCGTCGTAAAATATACACTTTTACCTAACATGTCAAATAAATCGTTAATATTAGGCAAAGGATATTTGTCATCAGTAGTTATGTCATTAAGTCGTCGGTAATCTATCACCATTCTCCACTTTTTCTCTCCAGATGCATCTAATTTCTTTGGTACTAGATGTACTGGTGCACTCCAAGGAGAGTGTGACTCTTGGATTATCTTGTCTTTTAACATTTTTTCTATTTGTTGTCTTATTTCCGTAGTCTGAATTGGAGGTAACCGATGAGCTTTAATATTAATTGGATCTTCATTTTTAGTGCGAATCTCATGTTTTACCTCATTAGTAAAAGTTAACGGTAAATGTTCACAATAAAAAATGTCCTTGTAATCCCTACAGATTTTCCCAATCATATTTTTTTCTTCTTCATTCATATGCTCCAATCTTAACTTTTTTAAATTATCATCCAATAATTTGTCAACCTCACGATGATTTACAAAATTTAAATTTGTTTCGCGATCTGTATCTAAATATGACACATCAAACGGTTCTACTCTAAACGGTGCCGTCACAACTAATTTTTGTTCAGCCTCAGTAACATTTTGTATAATGGTTGATGCAAAACCATTTTTACAGTTTACTAAAGCTGTAGGCATCCTAATCCCTTTTTGGAATTCGATAAAGTTCAAAATTGCATCCCCGTTTGTCAAATTGACTGGTAACGAAACTCTGTACTCACAACGAGGCGGCAAAATATACGTTTCCTTCATAGGAGGTGAATAATTTATTGGTATTCGCGTATTTTTGTAAACAAGACCAAGTTTTCCATGTCAATTGAAGCACCTAAAGTTCGCAATAGTTCGCTACCTATTAAACCGTCATATCTACTATCCACGCTGTATACATAAAATTTATGTTTTATCTGACTTTTAAAAATTTTAGGTAAATTTATATAAACAATTTCACTATGAATACTCGATGCGTGAGTACTAATCACTTCAAATGGTTCAATGTGTTTGTCGTTTTGAAAAAAATGTTAGCTAGGTCTGGGCTAATAAAAGACCTAGTACTCCCCGTATCTATCATAAAAACAGCATTTAATTCTGGAATAATTATATGAGGTAAATTTAATTTTGTACAATTTATTTTTATCTTTTCGGTATTGTTGAGGCTATCATAAAAAAATTTCCTATTTGTTCATGGTTCAAACTAGTCGGGTTCGATTCACAGTTATAAGAACAAGATGGTTGAATATTATTATCAGTATCAGTGTAATTAACGCGTCTTGAACTGGCTGTTCTCATCGTAATATCGGTATTGGAGGTCGATGGCATAGGCGATTCTTGGTATTGTAATCCATTGTTCGTAAAATGCCGACGCTGCTGTGACGACTGTTTTACCGGTGACCTAAATACCGTGTTATAATTGTTTTGATTATTTAATGTTCTATCATTTCTAACTTGGAAAGAATTATTATTTGAATTATTTGAACTATTTTGATGATTAGATGCATTCGGGTTCATTTGGACGTTATGGGTTGGAGAATTAAAATTATTAACTTGTCTCGGATGAGAATTCCTATATTGAAATGAATTAAAATTATTATAATTAGGTCTAAAATTTTGATTGGACCTTGGGTTCTTACTATCATAAACCGTTTGAAAATTTTGTTCTTCCAACACGGTTTTTAAAGCATCTTCCAGCGTGGTAACATTACGTAATCTCACTAATCTTACAAGGTACGCTGGTAAATTAAATAAGAAAACGTTTAATGCCGAATTATTATATATCGCTTGTTTGGCCTGTCTTATTTCGGTGTTGTTAATGGTTTCATTTATTTTGGAGAATAAAATACTCCTTAAATGTTGAACACGATGACAGAAATCTAAATAACTTTCGTTCCTATCCTTTTTTAGGGAATCTAATTCCATAGCCAGACAATCTTCTGACCTTGGATCGCCAAAGTGTTGGCTTAATAATAACTTAAGGTTATCCCAAGTATCTATTTGTTCCCGTTCCCCAACTAGACTTGCGGCTTCCCCGGATAATCGACTAGTAATTACGTGAAACAGATATTCATTTTGTAAATTGCCACCTTGAAATATCTGTAAAATGTATTCGCATTTCTTAATGAATAATGGTAATAATCTAGAATCACCATCAAAAACAGGAATAATTTCTACCATTTCTACAGGTACTCTTACGATATTTTCCATTTTGAATATATTAAAAAAAAAAAAAAAAAAAAAATTACCTATAAAATAATTGTTTAAACCTAACTTTTATTAACAATATTTTGATTGTTTAATAAAAATATTTTTCCGGCGTTTTCCAATCCGAAATAAACGTATAACTAATACAAGAGGAAAACAAGGAAAGTCACGGGAAGTGAAAAGTTTTACTCACAGTCCTGTTATCTTGACCATGCTCCTCCGGGATACTGCTAGTTCTTGGCTGCTCTTCCACCGATGCCGTGCTGTCCTTAACTTATTTATTTGTTCGGCGATCTCCGTTAAAACGTTAAAACGTACGTTACCCGGTTGGTACTAGATCACGAAAAAAACGCGGTATAACTTCTTCCAGGCAACTTATGGAGATCCTACCGGCTGCGCCAGTAAAGGAACGGCAACGGACTTTTGGTTTAAAAATAATTTATTTAAATCAACAGAGTGACAGCACTTAATTAAGAACTAAACAATAATCAACTTAATATCTATTTCTTCGTGCATTTATACATTCAGATTTACTTACTAAGTATTGGTCGTTGCTGACGCACGACCTACATTCGGCTTAGTGCTAGCAAAGCATATATTAATAGGGTTGGTACTCTTAACTCGCGCAGTGTGCCAGACCACTGCGTCAAAGCGATTAAAAATACGCACCGTCACTGAACGCTACCACTCCCCTCCCGCTATCCCCGCAGCGCTGAGACACCCTATTCAGCGTAAGCGCAAAACATAGAACGTGGATCAAAACATTAGTTGTGCTGGGGTCTCTAATAGTAATATAACTTACATAATTTTATGCACGACCACATATAGTGTTTGGTTTAGGATGCTGTACCGAAGAGATAGTAATATACGGCCCAGGCCTGCTTCACCCGCGGATCTGTAAAAAAAACAAGCTTGTATAATTGTTGGAAGTAAAATTGTTTTAAATAGAAGTGAATTTGTTTAATAAAGAGATAAATTGTTTTAAATAGAAGTGAATTTGTTTAATAAAGAGATAAATTGTTTTAAATAGAAATGAATTTGTTTAATGAAGAGAGAAGGGGCCTCATAGCCTAGCGGTCTTATTAAGTGGCAGCTAGGCGAGGGGTACCGGGTTCGATACCCGGTTCGAGGGCAAGTTTTAATTTAAATTTGTTCTCGGGCTTTGGGAGGGTTGTGCGGTACCGAGCGAGTGCCTAAACCATACATGGAGGACACGGTCGAATTTCTAAAGACAAGCACGAATTATAAAAAATCCTATACTTGACGCTGGCTAAGGCACAAATCGTGCCAGAGCCATAAAAAAAAAATTGAAGAGAGAAATGGTTTTAAGTTGGAAAATCTCGATATGACATTTAATTTCCATTAAAATAAATTTATGATAACTTGAAAATAATCGTTGGTTAATAAAAAAATGTGTGCGTGTACTAGGTGTACACACGTAAGAAGTGAAACTTCTTTATGACCTTATTAGAAACTATTTCTTTAAACACAGTAAATTTTGATACACTGCCTAGCATACAATTTACAAATTAATTGCTGCAAATTGCGATTAGCAAATTTCAAGTCGAAAATGTAATCCGTTGTCAAACTTCAAAGTCAAAAACATACTATATGTCATATTGTAACGCCGATAAAGAAGTTTGACTTCAAAAAGCAACATGGCGCGTAACGGAAAAATGTGACGCGTAACGCAAAATTTTTCCAACCCCGAAAAAGAAGTTTCACTTCAAAAAGTATGTTATTTTAATTGTTCGATTGTAACGGGTTTAGTCATGTGACACAAAACTATCGAAATATGTGATTACATATTTAACAAAGATACGTAAAAAACGTGTACGTGAAATTATTAATTTCAAATACTGAACTGAACTGAACTAATAACCGATCAAAGAAATTAATTTCACTCACGTAGTTAATGAGGACACTCGATGAACAAGTTTGTGAACATGTGTATCATTTTCTGGTTGTGGTTGACTCTCTTGAGGTGTCTCTGAAAATTATTATAATATTAGCACTTGAGATGGCCTGGCTTCAGTATTCCCCGGCTGTGCACCAATGGAGTGCCATTTATCTCGTACGTGAAGGAAATATCGCGAGGAAACCGGAAAGCTTAGAACTATCTCTCTACAGTCGGTATCTCATAATATCTGACCGACTTGGTCAACAAATCTGGAACGGACATTCTGTTTCCACCGGTTTCTGTCCAGCGCGTCTCTTCTTACTGTGTACAGTTTTGAGAACCATGAGTCTCGCCACATGTGTATATGACGTACAGTATCGGCCCTAATATACTTCCTTGTGGTACTCCCGCATTTACTTTAAATAATAAACCTGATATTAAATAAATCATTATTCTTACCAACTTGCCGCACAATTTGTTCCACGGGAATCGATTTCTCCGACGTATTGTCTGTTTCCTCCGTAGGTGCAACAGGCGGGATTGTTACTAAAATAATAATAATCACAATTTAAATACCTGGTTATGTATGTTGGGTGTGGCAGAGATAGAATGAAAGTATCGAAGAAAGAAACGTGAGCAGTGTGGGTTATAAGCCGATCGTTCACCGCCAACTAAACTAAGTTAAAACTAAACTCAGCAAGTTCAAGAACAACTAACAAATCCGGACACAACTAAGAAAAAAACAAAAACAAAGGATTTAAAAAAAAAAAATCTCATGTTGTGTCATCTCGTTTCAAAGTTACTTAACGGTTCCACCATTATTTCATGCTCCCCATCACACGTAAAAGCAGTTAATCATTGTAATTAAATAAAATAAAAAATAGTGGCGCTACAGAGTTTGGGCCTCAGATTTTCTGTATCTGTTTCATGATCTAATTAGGCAAGTAGGTAGTCTTCTGTGCCTGATACACGCTTTCGGCTGTTTGGGTCTAATGCAAGCCGGTTTCCTCACGATGTTTTCCGTCACCGTTTAAGCGAATGTTAAATGCACACATAGAAAGAAAGTCAATTGGTGCACAGCCGGGATCAAACCCACGACCTCAGGGATGAGAGTCGCACGCTGACGCCACTAGGCCAACACTGCTCCCTAATTGTAATTAAATATTTGACTGAATAAATATGAATGACGTCATTCAACAAAGAATTTATGGTAAAGATAAGCTTTTTTTAATGTGTGTATTGGATAATGAAGTCTTACTATACACATAAATAAATATGTTTAACAGAGCTGGTATTAGCGGTTACTTACCAGGTGGTGCGGCATCAGTGGCATCAGGTGCTGGAGCAGATGGAAGTGGCTCAGGAGTAGGTGGAGCCGAGGCTTCCTCTTCTAAATCTTCTTTCACCGCCTCTTTCAGAATCTGTTGCGATATTATAAACATATTTAACAGCATAGTTGAAGTTGCCTGGTGCTTAAACACGCGGTTAAATTTGCTGTTAAAACCCGCATATTTAACAGCACAGTTTGAAGTTACCTGGTGCTTAAAGGCGCGGTTAAAAATTGCTGTTAAACCATGCATATTTAGCAGCACAGTTAAAGTTACATGGTGTTTAAACGTGCGTTTAAAATTTGCTGTTAAACCCCGCATATTTAACCGCGCTGTTAAGAAATTACCTTTAACTGTAACGCCAGAAGGATTTTGGATTCTGGTCCAGACTTCTGAAGGTTTATCGGCTGAGACAGCATGGTGAGGTCCTTTTCTTTGAGTAACGACGCGACTGAGTACATCAGGATTCCGAGTTGATTTCCCGTTTTTTGATCTAAGACCTGGAAACGTTCAAAGTTCTATAAAGGAAAATATTTTAGCGTATTGGATAGAACAGTCCAGTTGGGCTGGTCTACTGTCTAATGGTGGTAGGTTGCGTGGAGGGCCTGCTGGGTCCACTACTGCGCCCCGTTCAGAGCGAGTTCTGATGACGCTTTAGTAGGTATGAGAACGCGAGTCCCACATAATCCGCATCAAGCAATTTACGGAGTAAACTCTAAAGTAAACACTTTTACCGGATTGAAGTTATGTATAATAAACTTATAATTATTTTATATAATTAAAAAAATTTCGACGTTTCGCGTGCTTTACAGCGTGCGTGGTCACGGTGACTGAAGACAAAAGGTGTTGGATGTCAAAAATTATCACAGCTGTAGAGAAAGTTACATTATCTGCATTTATATTATAATTATAAGTTTATAATAATACATAACTTCAATCCGGTAAAAAAGTGTTTTCTTTAAATGTGTAAAAGTTATGTTAATAAGAGAACTCTATATAACGACACTCAAGGGACTGCATATTTTGACGCTAAAAAGAGTTGTCTTTAAATGGAAAGAAGAAGAAGAAAAGGTTTATTTCAGACTAGTGTTAGTAATTACATAAAAACCATTCTTATTTGAACGCTATTGCGTATAGTCTGTTATTTTCGCCTGACGTATTCTGCTGCACCAGAAAATATGTTGTATTTTTATTCATTTTATGTTTAAATTATTATTAAAGCCAATTACAATAGAATTAAAGAACAATTAGTATAGCTTCTACAGTTTTATAAATCTTAAATGATTTTTCAAATCTAGTAACATAACTTTTGTTACGAAAAACAAGTATTCAAAATTGGTTAAAAATTTCTGTTCATTACTTAGGGAGCGAAGTATTACGTAACGAATTTTGGGAGGGGGGTCCTTTTGTAAAACGTTACGATGCGGGGCGGGGATTGCATTACGCATTACTGTTAATATTATTTTCGACTTTCCAGTTCTTTACACCACATAATGGCAACTTTTAGGTATAAAGAGTCGAGAAATGTTTTACTATTGGGCGCGTTACATTGGGGGGAGGGGAGGGGGGTGTCATTAATCTCCAAAAATTGAGTGACGTAATACATGAACGCTCCCTAATTGTTAACAATAAAATCTTTAAGCTTAGCTTAACTTACCTTTACTTCCAACATATCAATATTTGGATTGTGAACGAGGAACGAATGACCAATTTCATAGACTGGACAGTCCGTTCGCATTTGAACAGCCGTGTTCTCAGTTTTCTTTCCCAATGTTATTTGTAAATACGGGTCGGGTTTCGACTGTGCTCGGGCATTCTGGAATAAATAGATTATTTATTAATAATAATAAAAAAATATTTATTGCAAGAATATGGTACAAAAATGTGTAATGTACAATCGTAAGTTCGCATATTCTGCCACACACAATGGCGCGCAAATTTGTCTTTAAAGGAATTTTACATTTTATATTATTACTCATATGAATTAGTCAATTCTTATATTATCTGTATCGTACATATCATATCATACTTTATTAAATTTATATCAACTACAGTGTCTTAAGCAAATAATCATTTATTGAATGGTACATTTTTTCAAAAGCAATACACCAGGTCGCTTTTTAAAGACTAGTCGGAAGATCTTTGAATTCTTTTGGTAATTTATCGTAAACCTTAATTTCCATGCAAAAGGTGTTTTTCCTAAACAGTTCCAGATTGATTTTTGGCACAGCCAATTTCTCCACATGTCTACTTCTTACTTCGACTTCTACATTCGACTTAATAATATGTATGTTTCTGTGCACGAATAAGGATATTTCTAAAACATAAATACATGGGATAGATAAAATTTTGAGCTTCTTAAATAAAGGTACGCAACTATCAAGACAGTTTGCTCCACAAATTGCTCTAATACATTTCTTTTGAGCTTATTATTTTATTTGAGAGATTTATTAACACTTCGTTGCATTACAATATAAAAATTGAACATAATTAAATGACAAGGAACTGGCGGACTTATCGCTTTCGAGCGATCTCTTCCGGGCAACCATTGTGAGAAAAAAATGTATTAAATTAGATAAGGTAGGCAAGAAGTGCAAAAATACATATTACATATAGTCATTAAGGAAAAAAATCTAAACAGGAACAAAAAACAAACTCAACTAATAAAGGATACATGAAAAATAAAAAGTGCACATGAATCACGATAATTTAAGATCAGTCTCACGTCAGTTAGGGGTACGATGTGGTCTGTGGACAGGATTATTACCGGCCTCGGCTGAAATAAACCCTTTTATATATACCAACAATGGCTCAGTTTTCTCTATATGTTTCGTGATCATTTGTTTTTTTTCTATTAGGAAAAATTAATATTATCAGGCAAGCTGGTGATCAAACTTCTGTGTCTGACACACACATGTTTTGGAATGTTTCCTAAGCTTTTTTGTGCTATAGCCTTTCTAAAACTGATATTCCTAATTTTATCCATAACATACGTTAATTATAATAAATTGTGCGTGTACTAGGTGTACACATGTAAGAAGTGAAACTTCTTTATGATCTTATTTTTCGAAAAATGATCTACTATTTGCAACTTTACAGAAATTCGTTAAATTAGATAAAGTTTAACAAAAGACTTTTATTATCATAGACATGAATACAAATATTTCATTTTACCTTATTACTACGAAGATTATTATAGAATTTCATTAATTGTAATAGAATTATTACTATCATTGAAAAACGTGACGATTTGCTACAAAATTTCTCCCATACGTCGATAAAGAAGTTTCATTCCAACGCCGATAAAGAAGTTTGACTTCAAAAAGCAACATGGCGCGTAACCGAAAAACGTGACGCGTAACGAAAAAATGTTACACTAAATTTTTTTCCAACCTCGATAAAGATGTTTCACTTCAATAAAAAAATGAATAGTTCACTTAAGACACTTAAATGATAGGTTTTAGGAAGAAAACACTAGGAAATTTTCACAAAACTTGTAAAAATTCTAAAACATAATCTAGCAAATTACAAATAATTTTAATAAATATTTTGTGCGTGGGACGCACGTTGGGAAACACTGTTCTAAGGCAAGCCGGTTTCCTCACGATGTTTTCCTACGTACGAGCGAGTTAAATGCGCACATAGAAAGTCCATTGGTGAACAGACGGGGCTCGAACCTACGACCTCAGGGATTAGAGACATACGTTGAAAACACTAGGCCAACTTCTGTATAATCTTAATATATATATTTCTTGTGTGCGTGTGTATGTGACTGAACTCCTCCTAAACGACTGGACCGATTTTGATGAATTTTTTTGTGTGTGTTCAAGGGGATCTGGGAATGGTTTAGATTCACAAATCAGCCCGGCAGATGGCACTGCAGTCGGTACTTTCATACTTTGCTTAATATCCTAATCGCTTTAAATATCATGCAGGACAACGTCTGTGGGGTCCACTAGTTTAATATAATTTCTTATTAATACTGAACCAAAAATCTATCATTTACCAGAACGTTAGGTTTAGGACTTTATACTATAAAACGGGTTCATGTACAGAATACCGAATTAAAAAGCCTTTAAACAATTGTAAAGGCCCTTACAGGTCTTACCAGGCGCAGAGGCTTGCCGAAGACAGCGGACAGTGGAGGAAGTTGTGCCGACCCACTAACACCACCTTCAGAAATGAAGAGTGCGACTGAAGAAACAACTTTTAATACTTACTGGTAAGTTTTTACACGAGTCGATATAAACAGAGAGTACAGCCGTACTAAGCTCCGAATTCTTGATGAGTTGCACTTCTAACAGCGCCTGAAAATTATTAAATCAATTAAATTTTATTTATTGTACAGATTATCAGAAAGGAAGAAGTTTACAAGTGTGGTGGAAACACAAACCAGTTTTTGTGTCCACCAAGACGTCATCGATTTAAATAATTAACTTGTATACTAGGGCCAATGACATACACATCACAACATTATAGCCATCATTTTTGGATGTGCGGTACATCCAACTTGGTTAGCGAAGCCCTACTCACGTGGGCTCACTTCTAATTTTAAGGAACGTAGTGGAAACGTAGTAAAATAAAGGATGTAAAAGTAAAAGTAAGATAAAGGATGTAAAAGTAAAAGTAAAATAAAGGATGTAAAAGTAAAAGTAAAATAAAGGATGTAAAAGTAAAAGTAAAATAAAGGATGTAAAAGTAAAATAAAGGATGTAAAAGTAAAATAAAGGATGTAAAAGTAAAAGTAAAATAAAGGATGTAAAAGTAAAAGTAAAATAAATGATGTAAAAGTAAAAGCAAAATAAAGGATGTAAAAGTAAAAGTAAAATAAAGGATGTAAAAGTAAAAGTAAAATAAAGGATGTAAAAGTAAAAGTAAAATAAATAATGTAAAAGTAAAAGTAAAATAAAGGATGTAAAAGTAAAAGTAAAATAAAGGATGTAAAAGTAAAAGTAAAATAAAGGATGTAAAAGTAAAAGTAAAATAAAGGATGTAAAAGTAAAAGTAAGATAAAGGATGAATGAGGTAGAAACTCTTTTGACTGTATTTACCTGATTCAAATCGGCAAGTTCTGTGGACAAACGATGCCAGGAGAGGCGGAGGTGAACTTTTCCATGTTTAGCTTGTTGGAGAGTTTGCCACTGAAATATTTTTTAAAAATATTAAAACGTTTGTATCCAATTTTTATTTATTTGTACACGCTCAAAAATTATTTCATCATTAAAATTCTGATAAAATATTTTTAAAATGTCCAAAATCCGGATTATTTATTTATAAAACTAATGATTTTCATACACAGTAAAAATAATAAATAATATTAGCGACTGTACGATGAGACATCAGTCCCGGCCAGAAGCCGAGAGTGATGTGTCCCATCCGAGGTCTCACTACCCCTGTAGCATGTGATTCTATTTTTAAATTTCAATATTTTCCCACTAAATTTTGAAATTCGAATTTTAAAAATTTTATAGAATACACAAATTAAACGCAAAATATATTACATGACAATTGATGGGTGATACAGATAATTATGAAAATCATGTTTGACACGAATTGGCGGCTCAAATTCTGATCTTTCCTTCCGTAGAATTCTGACTTTTCATAAGTGTTGCAACTAAAACAGTTATCCGCCGAAAAAGGGACAAATTTGACCCATTTGAGGGCAATAAAAAATAAAATGCTACGTATTTTCTATTTTACCTACAAAAAGGTCAATCTAAATATTTCCTTACTCAAGTGACCTAATACAAAAATAACAAATGTTTCAATATCACGAACAATATATCGAATTAACTTTAATTACTTTATTATATTCTTTAGCTGGCATAACTGCCACTTTTACTGTTTGTGATGAAAAGGGACGTAATTACCACTCGACGTTAAACGACTTTTAATGTGGAGCACCGCACTTAATAAAATGGATACATTCACTAACAAATAAAATGTATGTATAGACTCAGATGTTCAGACTCGTATTGAAATTGAAAAATGTGAAATGAAATGAAATGAAATAGTTTATTCTTGCAAGTAGGACTATATAAATCACTTTTACAATGTCTTCCTAAACTAGATGAAGTCGACATTTCCTAACTGACTGCCCTGAGAAGAAATGTCGAAACAAACTCGGGGGTCTTAGTCTCTTTGATAGTCCAGATAATACAATAATAAATTAATAAATTGGTGTAAACAAATGCAGAGTATTTACTGGACTGGCCTTTGGAAGAAAGAACCAGATCGATCTGAGCAAGCCTGTGCCAGCAGACGGCAAGCATGCCCCGAATAGCTCATGCAGCTCAAACATTTTTGAGGGAGCTGCACAACCCGGTACACAACAATACCGCCAGTGGCACCATAAAAATATGTGGAGCCAAAAAGGTTTGTAACCTCTAGCATGTCTAAAAATGATAGCTGTCAAAATTCTACGAAATTAAAAATCAGAGTATAGTATTAAATAAATATATAATCTACATTTGAATACGTTTTTCTTCAAATACATTTTCAGCCAGTCAATACTTACGGTATCAAGTCTTCCAGCGCTCACTACTTGTGATATATCCAAAGCACATCTATAAGAAATCATTTTAATTATTCACTCGCCTTAGAGAATCAGAACCGAGACTACTCTTTTGTATTTTGACATACGTCACAGGTTGTGTCTCGTTTCTGAATCTCTTAACGTCTTTAGATATAATTAATAGTGCATTAGTTGCTTGCTTGAAAAAATCGACACACCAATATTAGTAAAGTTGGCAGAAATATTAATACGCAATAAACTAAAAGTAGCTTTAAAAAACTGTTACACATTATGGCTGTGCAGCTGTGAAATTGTCAGCAAATTCAAATAAAATCGTCATGATCGAAGAAAAATGTCGGATTTGAACAAAAATATATAATCCACTTTTTATCCTAAATATTACGGCTACATTAAAAAAAAACAACGTGTTTTAAATTTCAAATTAATCAGTCGGCAAAGTGACACAACATGTGATATTTCTAGAAAACTGTGTAATTTAATGTTATTATTTTTATTTTTTTTCAAAACAAAACCTTTTGTTTGCTTGTATGCCAATTTTCATAATAACAGAATATGAATTAAAATAGTTATGACAAAAACTATTATTTTGAAATGGCTGCCCTGTAAAGTTTACTATTTGTTAGATCCATCACTATTCTACGACTAAGACGAAATTTGGCTATTTTGACGAAATAAAATAAAATGATAATTTATAAATTAAATGTGTTAATCATAATTTTTGTGAATTAGATTATTAGTGACTGTGTCGAGCATAATTGTGTTATACTCTATATGACAGAACTATTTTCTTTAAACAAAGTTTAATCATTTTGTATACATTTCTTCATTCCATTAGAATACCTTTGACTGTAATATGCTAAACATGAGAATTGCACATCGTGCTATATGTATGATGCAATATGATTATCAAGTTTCACTGATGAAAACTATCGCGTACAACTTTTGAAAAACCTTATTCCTTTGGCCTTAAAAATAATATAATTATAATATAATATGTTAGTAAAATACTAAATACGTTACTATTTCAATTAATTTTAAAATTTAATCAATATAAAAAATAATAAAATAAAATCAAGTATCAAGTATGTTTAATCCACAAAATATATCAAACTTTTAGCGATACCATACTAATTTTTTTTTGAATTTGCCTTAGCCAGACTCGTTCATTAGACGACTCACAGTCGTTGTATGTTAAAAAAGCGTTAAAAATATCGAGTTGCGTTTTTATACTGTCAGTTTAAAGTTTTATTTAATTATTCCCAATTTTCATTCAAAGGACCTTAAACGGCCGAAAAGGCACAAAACACTTCGCCAATATTAATCGCCAAATATTTTATTTTGCAAAGTTTAAGATTTATTCTGCAAACCCTACCCAAAGATCCAAATGACATGGAATTAATAATCATCTATCAGCAGGAAGCATTAAACAATTGGAGCCCCGATTAGCATTATAGTTAGAAACGCAAACATATCAAGGTGAATCACGGTTGAAATAATATCACCGCATACTCGACCAAGTAGCACCCGTTCACGAGTACAACGCATGGTCAGCTATTAATCGACCAGTCACCACAAGTACCATCCGTTCACGAGTACAACGCATGGTCAGCTATCAGCCAAAGTTTAATACGCGATAATTTTCGTTAATTTAATGAAACTTGACTATGAGTTAAAAGTTACACCTTCCGAGGTTTTCGTCCTTCCCGGCTCGATCCCAGTCATAAAGGCGGATGGAAGCCTGCGCCCCCCTCTCTTTCAGGACCGACTGTTTCACAATTCAATATAAACACACAAGCAAACAAACAGAATATTATCAAAGCCCTGTCACACATAATTCACACGTAAAATTACCATCCTGAATTAATACGTTATATATTTATTTATTAATTAATTATAATAGGTAGGACCACAAAAGTTTTGGCTTTGCGCATCAATGGACAACAAAATAAAACCGGTGTAGACTTTGTAATGAAAGAAAAGAGTTTGACGAAACCTCCAGATGGCTGTGCAAGTTTATTAACGGCCGTTTCCTATACTCAATCCCAATTTTACTACTAGATTGATATTTCAATACATTTCTCATAAACTACTCAATAAACGACTGATGGATCGATAGCCAAAGTGTTTTTGTAAACCATCTTTGGAGGGATAATATTTAGTATTTCAAAGATTGTCACACATATACACACGTCACAGACTGTCTTAAGCCATAGACTAACCAGGCAAACAAATCTCGATCCTTTTACTTCACAGAATATAAATTTGAGTTTCTATGGTTTTATTATTTGCTAAAGCTAAGAAAGCAGCAGTGATGCCAACACAAACAGAATGTTCCCCCTTAAACCAACTTCAAATAGTCCTAAATATCGATTAAACCCGTAAAGATTTTGTAAGTACACTCGGTTTGAGACGTAATTTCAATTATGAATCAACATTACATTGAAGTAGTATAAAATTTCGATCTTGGAGTATTATATATTTTTGATACTTCAGTCCACCACGCTTAGACTTTATATTTCGTTTAGTTTGTTGGTTGCGTTCTAGTACTACTCGTAAATTGTATAGAACTGATATTCAGCCCTTAAAAGGTGAATTAATCTTCGCTAAAAATTCTTATCGCTAACAGAAATAACACGACAATATTTGAAAAAAATAAAAAAGATTGCTAAAGCTATTTTTACTTGCCAATCGAGGGTGAGACTTTTTACAACTCCCCTTGAAAAGGCTATTTTAAAAGCGGTTTTATTGTCTCTTAAGCGCAAAGCCAAAAACAGTAGACCAAACGCATAACCTAGAGGAACGGACCTGCCGAGGTAGTCATCGTTCTGAATGCCCATCCCTGGATCCCAATCCCATAGTTCGCATTGCAGCACCTGGCTCTTTCTTGAGCTTATTAACGCCTTAAAACAATACATATAGGCTATCATTAAAATGCATTTCCTCCAATTCATATTTCATAGGGGGCAAATGACAGCCCATGCCCCTTTTTGGCACGCACACAGCGTTGCCTAAATCAGTGGGAATAAATTAAGTGTACTGTCTTTTTTCACAAGACGTATTTTGAGAGGTCTATCCATATTAATTTAATATTTTATTTAATGTGACTACTGTAGACAAATAGTTTCTTTTTAATTACACAAAAACGTAGTCTAGCTCTGAATTCATCAGGACTGAAACTAATAAAAATATTACTTATAATAATTTATAAAGATATATGTTGTTATTTAGGGTCTGACATTATTCTGACAGTACTTTTAATTATACTTTACCTGTATTTGCTTAAAGATAAAAGCATTGTAAAAAGCTGTGAGGTACAAGCGAATGCATCATAGAACGTAGATTATCTCTGGCTAGAAGCATGTTGTCAATTCTGACGTACTTATCAATTTACCACAGATTATCATGATCAAATGTAAGATTGAAATAACATTATTTTTTGTTTTTGCATTCCAAAATATAATAGATACAATTGGACATGTCAAGATTTTTTTTTAAATTTAAATTAATGTAAATCAGAATTAACGATGTGTTAAGCATTATCAAGCGATAGTAATCGCCGCACAATCTCGCAAAACACATGAAAAATGAACATTCGTAAGAGAATTGGAGAAAAATCTGAAATAAACGTGTTTTATGAGTATGAAAATCAAACGAAATTCCGTACCACATGCCCCCAGACTAACCTAATTTATAATAAAATTACGCGTCGAATTAATCTTTCGGTTTTTGTAGATTAAATCATTATACAAGTTTTTCTAATTATTAAATTTCCTAAATTCTCACCTACGAAAATATCGAAAATAGCCATAAAAACTGAAAAGAAAAACATGAGTTCGACAATTTTAAATTTTGGTAATCTTCACAAAAAATCTTGGATTTTTTTAAAAAGTAAAAGTTATTTAAATGAAATCTAAGTGGTACAAAACAATATACTAAATGGTAGGTTAATATTCACCTTAAAAGATTTTGCAATTTTTTTGAAGTGAAACTTCTTTAGGCGTGAATGAATGAATGAAATGAATGAGGGTAAAATTTTTACGGAACGTCACGAAGATGTGCAGCGTTTTTGTCGTAGAAAAGGAAGAGCAATTGAGACCGATTGAGAGAGTGAGAAGGGTGAATTACCTTATAGAAATTCTATTTTCAAAATAAATATTTTATAAAGAGAATTTATTAAATATTAGTATTTAAAAATAAATTTATTATTTGTATTAATAGACCAGTCAGTCAAGACAATTAATTCATAATAATTCCAAAAGTTTTCAAATTTTGATGTAAGGTCGGGAGTGGTATTAAAACAAACTATAAAATTTTGCAACCTGCTCTGCGGTCCGGAACATTGTTAAAAATAAGTTTTGGTCGTGAAAAAAATTCCAAAAGTTCTGCAAACTTGGGGAAGTTTTCGATATAATATTTCATATCACGTATAAAATTTGCAACCAACCTAAGTGTACGGAACATTTTTTGTTATTAAAAATTAATGTTTTTCTTTATTAAACTGAAGGAAAACGTTCCAAAAGTTCTGCAAATTTGACAGATATATCGAAAATAAAATAAATAACAAAAAATGTTCCGTACACTTAGGTTGGTTGCAAATTTTATACGTGATATGAAATATTATATCGAAAACTTCCCCAAGTTTGCAGAACTTTTGGAATTTTTTTCACGACCATACAGCAAAAATTAATTTAATTGCAATTTTAACAATGTTCCGGACTGCGGACAAGGTTGCAAAATGAGATTTATTGTCGTCCCAATGTACCATTCACTTGACCGAAGTTTGAAAACTTTTGGAATTATTATCAAATTTTCGATTTCGAATGTCTATAATGACTGGCCTATAATGCCAATGCCAAAGAAGTTTCACTTCCGATATGTGTCCTTTGTACGCACGCACTTTTTTGATTTTCTTTAAGAATTTTTGCTCATGTGCCAGTTTTTAATAGGTAGCAGTACCTTTTTTATTCGATAACAATAGAATTCAACGGTTAAAGACTACGTTTTTACCGGCAAATATTGCAGACCGTTTTACCGACACCTAGCGGATATGATGAATTGTACTCTTTGTTTCTGCGACATCTAGCGACCATTACATAACCCAGTGCATGCCTACCGACACCACTCACCTGCCCAATTTGTCGTCATTGTTGCCATCATCCTTGTCGAAAACTTCAATTTCCAACGCTTGACCCAACGATTGCATAACACGTGCCTTAGTAAAATTATATTCACCATATTAATTTTAATACCCCTATGCATCTACCCGCATCAAAACTTTAAATTTAAAAAAAAAATTAGTTTTTGTAACTGAGATTAGTCTCATTGAGAAAGGTTGCCCAAATATTATATATACGCGGTGTCCGTCCCAAAACCAATAACGTTATATACTCAGAAGGTAGCGTTTTCATGTTACGTCTGGCTCAGGATTGTACGAGACAAGATTTGGTTTAGATGTTCCTGCGTGCACTTAAATGTTGAGCGAGTGTGACGTCTTAGGGGCCGTTCAAGTATTACGTAGGCACTATAGGGGGGAAGGGGGGTCTTAGATTTTCTTATTTGGTGATTACGTCAACAGTAAATATTAACTTTTTTACACATATTACCCACACATTGTCTATGCTTGAAAACGAAATGCATTTTCGAGGATTCCTACAAAAAATTAAAACATTTATGTAGTATTATTTTTGAGAGCTTTGCTTACTTTTGAAGAGAAGGGGGGGATTGTAGAAAATCTGCTTTCGTAATACTTGAACGGTGCAATGCAACAGATTCTTGTATTAAAACATATTTTTAACTTCGTCTATCCAAAAATGTAAACTTGGTAACCAGCAAGCAATGCAACCGTTTGTGTCCATAAATACTCTGATTTACTAAGCTAGGGAAAATTAGCAACGAATTGTTAAGAAAATCTTGAATATGCCAAAAAAAATCTCTACAAGTAAACATGCATTAACAAGAGATATGCCGACTTTCCAACACAAAAAAAAATTCATTTCTACTATTGTCACGATAGAGGGTACCTCATTTTTTTTTGATAATTTTTTGAGCCTCAATTTTTTTTACTTTTAGACTCGATATTATGTAAACTTAAAGCTGGTAATACTGCGATGGAGTATTCAAGAAAAAAGTGCACTAAAGTTAAAAAAAATATTATTTTTTAATCATACGTCAGAGTTTTATCGAAGTTTTCAAATCGCTGTGGACCTATTCCCGCTTTTAATTCTCCTAAAAACCTTGGCTTAAAAACTAAACTATTTTGGAAATGTCTAGTCGGTACACCTCTTAAGGCAAGTCATATGTAATCGTTAGTCAATTCCAGTTCTCGTCATATTGAGAATTACCTGGCAACATTCATACAATTCAATAACTAGTGCAACCATAACCATCTTAAGTCTGCTATTTTCAAAAAATGTCAAAAAAATCTAGAACTACCCTCACAATTTATATTTCTATATTTTGTTTAAATATTACAATTGTTTAACTGAAACTTTTACCACAGTTATTTGAAAAAGCAGATTTAGGACCCAGTGCAATTGAAACTGCAATATTAACTGTAATTTAATATCTGTACCTCACACCAGAATTCCCATCTTGGGTTGACGTCGTTATCGATATGTTTAGTCTTCCATTGCTGGGCTCCAACTGTTATTATCGCGTAAGGGTCGGACTTACCCTTTCCTGAAAAAAAAAAAATGATTTTAATGTTTGACGTACGTATAACCGTACGTTCGTATTGACCGCGTAAGAAAAGACCGCTTAAAGATTGAAAAGGATTTGAATTTGTGAATTAGTGTAAATGCACGTTAGTCTAAGTGATAAACACAGTACACTTATGAATGTCCAAAAAAAAAATATATTAAATGCTTCAAATTTTACATTTACCTACTGCTGTTCTCAAATCAAGGGCGTAGAACGGAAGAGAAGAACTGGCAATAAACTCTCCGCCACTCTTTTATAGAACAAATAGAACACAAGAACAGAGTGTTTTCTCCTTAACAGAGACTGTAAGTAGTGTTATTGTGACACTTTCTTATGTTATTATACTACTTATTAGTTTTAAGTTATGTTAGATCGTTATGTTCAATGTCTCAGTGAAGAGACAATATATTTAAAAAAATGCAAACGAAACACTAACAGTCCGGTATCTATTAGGAGACAGAGACGGCGCTATACGAATACTATTATAATAATAATAATAGATAACAAATAATCGTGTACGACCTCAACTATGCGTGAGTGTATGAATACGTGGATGTGTGTGCGATAGAGCGTGCGCTGCGAGCGTGCGCATAAAGTAACCCAGACGGGTTACTTTATGTCATTTAGTAAGGCTTCTGTAAAATCGAATACGAATCGGCTAGCTTAATTGTAATCTGGATAGATTGACTATCCCAAAATCCATAAATCGGGAGATTTTACTATAAAGGAATTATTGGATTGTTAATTATTGTATGTGTTTGATATTTTCTCTAGCTTACTATAGCAAAAATGCAGGTAAAAAACAAACATACCTATCATCGAAACATCTTTCTTCATAAGGTTCTGAGCTTGAACTAAATGTATGCGAAGAACACCCTGAAAACATTTTAATACTTTTTACCAGTAATTTTATTTAATTTAGTTTTATAAATAAAAAAAATAGCAAAATATGTTGCTAACATTGATATACAAAAAACCCAAGATGCACAGTCTCGAATAAAAGTAACGCTCGAAAGTGTCCCGAAACACTATTTCTGTCCATAACAGTATATGTTACAAGCATATATTATTGCAAAATCAACCTTACGCGAATTGCTTAAAGTTGTTATTACAACGCAGTGTACTTAAAGCAATAAAATTTTACGACCGACCGTGGTCGGTAGGACAAGGTATTGAGTGGAGTCGAACATGACTTTTTTATTTACAACTATTTAACATAATTTTAAATTTATCCGACTTTTCGGGTGCTTTACAGCGTGAGTGGTCACGGTGACTGAAGACAAAAGGTGTTGGATGTTAAATAGTTGTAAATTTATAATAATACATAACATTAATCCGGTTAAAAAGTTTTTTCTTTAAATTAAAAAAAAATGTTAAATTGGCTACCTCCTGACCCACACTTTATATAGCGTAAATATATTTGTCAAAAACTACACATAGTATTGTCTTTGATTAACATAACTTTTATTCATTTAATAAAACACTATTTTGACCGGATTGAAGTTATGTATTATTATAAATTTACAACTATTTAACATAATTTTAAATTTATCCGACGTTTCGCGTGCTTTACAGCGTGTCACGCGTTCAATCCGGTCAAAATAGTGTTTTATTAAAAAAAAAACTACACACAAAAAAGTTCAAGAGTACATAAATTCGTTTATAAAAAAAAACACAAATAAATAACATCGACTCCACTTATAGACGCGAGACTATTTGAAATGAGCGCACAATTTAGAATGTTGCGCTCATTTTTTGAGGACGTTTTTTAGACGTTGATTGTGCATCTTGGGTTTTTGTATATCAATGGTTGCTAAACGCAAAACTCGAAGAGCAGTTATTTTTATTTAATTATTCCTTAAAATTTGAGGAAGATTTCAATGGAGAGAAAAAATTGGAACCAGTTTTTATTCCGGAAAAGGGAACAGTCTCTACGGGCAGCATAGCAAAATGTTCGTATGTATTAAAAAGGTAGCCAAAGAAAAACATATTAGGCGAAACGAAGTTCGCGGGGGGTGTAATAAATATCAAAACTCTATGTAAGAAGGGACTGGAACGTTGTATGGACAAGACAGACTAGTGATTTTGATGTTTACATTCTATTATTAATTAAATAATCTTCTTGCAACTATTGTATACACGTTTGCCCGTAAAGACTTAAAAAAAACATAGTGCGTGGAGTCCCTCCGCAAGAAGAAGTGGAACTTCGTAATGTGGAAATGAAAATAGGAAGCATTCAATCTCGCTCTGTCTCTTTCTATTCCCCCTCCCCAGGAGCGTTAAACGATTAACGCAACCATGTTGGAAGTGTATGTTTGACCACAAATTTTCCGAAAACAAAATTCAGATCGAAAAAAACCTCCATTTATTTCAACGCCCTACTTCCGGAACAATCCAAAATCATTAAAATCTGTTTAGTAGATTTTGAGATGAGTATCCACATTTCTGGCTTAATATACCTAGGTATTTGAAACCGTTCCCCAAAAGCAGAGGGCCTGTGTAGAAAAACACCATGATCAGTCTTGGGCAACTCTTTGATTGTGCCACCTTCTTTCGCCTCTACCATGATTCAAACTCCCTAGGAGATTCCAGTCGAGAACCTGGTAATGTTACTTGGATACTTCCAGAGATACTTCTTTCCACTTTCAGCTTTTTATCTGGGGGCCTACAAATCGCGAGGATTTGACGAAGGCGGTTCACGAAGACCTGGACCCAGCGTGGTCCTTTAATACCTTAATACATCATAAACTTCTGGTTACCTCAGGATCCGGCATCCGTAGATCGACGGTAGGTATTTCATCGCTGAGTTTGATCGGTAATTTGTTTGGTAATACCATCATTTTAGCCACTTGCTCTATGATGCAACGACGTAAGATGTCACTGAAAAATTATAACCTTCAAGTTTTTGTTTGTTCGTGTGGGGGTGGGAAAAAATCTACCAATCAAGTTTTTTGATGCAGGAAGGGCAGGAGGCTCATCTGATGTTAAGTGATACATCGACACTGGACAGTCATTGCCAGAAGGCACGCAAGTGCGTTGCCAGCCTTTTAAAAATTGGTACGCTGTTCTTGAACCCTAAGTCAAATTGGTTCGGAAATACGTCAGTGGACAGCTGGTCTTTGACATATTCATGATTTTAGGTACTTGACGTAAAAAGCGAGAAATGAGTTAAGTTCGGTGGCGGTTGTTGGAAGGATTTTTTTTACGTAACAGGAGGCTCATCTGGTGCTAAGTGATACTCATGGACTTCTTCTTCTTCTTGAAGTGCCTCTCCACTACTGGAGGTTGGCGGTCAGCTCGTCATACTCCTTCTTATTTTTCGCCAAGCGCATCAGCTGTTCTACGCTGGCCAATCCCGTCCATTCTCTAATATTGCGGAGCCACGACTTCCTCCTTCTGCCAGCGCGTCTTTTCCCCTCGACCTTGCCCATCATGATTGATTTCATGGACAGTCACATACTATATTTATTTTTTATAACTGCAGCCAGTTTAAACAGCATGTTTAATGTAACTAACCTGAATCCCGGCATATCCAGAATATCAGCAGCTCCCACTAAATTGAAGTCTATGGACGGATTATTTAGGAAGAACACTTGGAGACCACCCACTAAAGGAATTTTCGTTATCAAAGGCTTCATTATTACACGAAGCATGCCGTGAATCTGAAAAATATAAGTAATCAATAAGTGGCTAGAACTCCTTATGGCTTAAAGAAACGAAAATTTTAAGTTAGGTATTTACCGTCGCCCATGGACAGGACACCAGGAGGTTTGTAAGTACGTAGCCGGCCTTAATGGTAGGTCACGAACAATACTTTATTGAATAGTTATCGTACTACATTGTACTCATGTGCAACATGGTGTAATGATTGCAGCTCCTAACAAACGTTGTGTAAAACAAAAACTTGGCGATTAAGAGTGGCGGAGAGTTTATTGCCAGTTCTTCTCTTCCGTTCTACGCCCTCGATTTGAGAACTGGCAGTAAATGTAAAATTAGAAGCGTTTAATGTATATTTCTTTTTTTTTTGACGTCCATAAGTGTACATTGTGTTATCTATATGAATAAATGATTTTTGATTTGATTTGATTTATTAAAAAAATCAAAATAGTCCCTTGGGCGTATTAATTCGCAGTCCACAAGCTCGTCTAAAGCGCTGCATATTAAAAATGGTTTGACAGCTCTTGAAACTATTATTATATTTACTACATAACATTATAGAGTCTGGCTAATGAAAGAAGATAACGAAAAAGCGCGGCAAATTCAATTTTTTTTAGTATGGTATCCCTAAAAGTTTCATATATTTTGTGGATTAAACTTACTTAATACTTTATTTTATTTTATTATATTTTTCATAGACAGTATTTCTACGAAAATACTATATGTATTTAGTATTTTACTATTTATACTTAAAATGACTAGCATTGCATGGAAAACTAAAACTATATTTATTATAAAACACAACTTTATTCGGAATAATCATATCCTGCGAAAGAAACGAAATATTCTATCAAATAAAACAAAGTTAAAATAAAATGATTAATTGCATGAAGTATCAAGACAATAAATCATCCTAACCTAAGAAATTCATTGACATACTGTGTTGCCATCCGAAAGTTTTCAAATAATTCAATTATCTTCTTTCATTAGCCAGACTATATTATTTATTATTTACCTGCAAATCTTTGATTCCTCCTCTTATTCTTTGAAGGACAAATGAAATATCGCAATCTCCAGCATAACTGAAAACAAACTGACTTATTCAATTTTACTGATATAGGGAAACTTAACAATACACAAAAGTACCGCAGTGGCGCTGCAAATTCTAAGTCTTGGCTTATTATTTTAATAGGCAAATAGATGATTATCTTTCTGTGTTTTCTGTCATAAGTGTTAAATGTACACAAAAAGCCGTTTTAAATAACTTTAAAGAATTTCTAGTATTGAATTTAAATTAAAAACTAGATCAAAGTTACATTATGAAACCATAGAGTTTGTCAATGATCTAGTCGATCTAGCTGTTATGAAAGGATTTAAGAGCGTTACTTTTAAAATAATTGCAGGTCTCCATACAAATTTTTACTTATACTAAATCTCTTCATCGCTTCACATTCTCTTTGATTAGTGCGAGTGCAAGTGATTAGTAATTTACATTGATTAGTGCAGGTGTGTAGTGCAAGTAGTCCAATTATTGTTTAGTGGCTCTGTTAAGTGAATTCAGTTGTCAATATTTTGGCAGGCTCGCTGCAAGTGAGGGGGAAGGGAGGGCGCACGCGACGTCACTACTCGCAGTTCACTCGCAAAAAAATAGAACACGCCTCTAATCACTTTACTACGCAGCCAACTAATCACCTGCACTAATCAGTCTCTGTCCACACTTGTTTTCTCCTAATCACTAATCACCTGCACTAATCAGTCGCTGTCCACACTTGTTTTCTCCTAATCACTAATCACCTGCACTAATCAGTCGCTGTCCACACTTGTTTTCTCCTAATCACTAATCACCTGCACTAATCAGTCGCTGTCCACGCTTGTTTTCTCCTAATCACCTGCACTAATCACTAATCAAAGTGAATACATGCCTATAGCGTAAATACAGAGACAGAGAGGTTAATTATTAAACCAAGTAAACATTTAATTAGCGTTATCAACTTAATCAACATAACCATAGACAAATATCGTAAAACTCACAATAAATCCACATCCATGATGATTTCATTTCTCGAAAGATTTTTATCGTAGACTTTCACGCCTCCCACTCTTGGTGCCTTTAAAAAAGTTAACAAAATCAAACTTCACATTATTTATCTATATTCATAGACTATTAACATTATTAGGGTCTGTTCCACAATGTATGGATAAAGTACCAAATAGCTATGCAACACATAAATTATTTGGAAGATAAATTGTGCTATTTGACATTCATCGGACTCATAACTTATGATGGTCTTAATGTGACAATTAGCGCTATCTGACAGTCGTGAAACGCAACAATAGTGTTTATCCTACCAATAAGTAATAAATAGCTAATTTGGAACTTATGACGACTCATTGGTCTAGTGGTTAGTACCCCTGACTTCGAAACCATGGGTCCCGGGTTCGATCCCCGGCTGAGACGAACATCGATGTGATGAGCATTTTATGTTGTGCTTAGGTCTTGGGTGTTTAAATATGTATTTATATGTCTATCTATGTATAATATGTATGTATATCCGTTTGCCTAGTACCCATAACACAAGCTTCACCAGCTTAGCATGGGACTAGGTCAATTGGTGTGAATTGTCTTTAAAAAAAAAAAAAAAAAATGAGGAACTTATCCGTACATTGTGAAACAGACCTTTAATGAGTTAAACTAGCTAAAAAAAAATGAGGAATAAAATGTTAAAAATCTCTAATACAAACAAACCAGTGGTCGCTACAACCTTTTTAGGTCTGGGGCTCAGATCTGTATCTGCTTCATGATCATTTGTCAATCTAATAGGAAAGTAGGTGATCAGCCTCCTGTGCCTGACACACGCCTATTTGCGCCTAAGACAACCGGTTTCCTCACGATGTTTTCCTTCACCGGTCGAGCGAATGTTAAATGCGCACATAGAAAGTCCAGCCGAGGATCGAACCTACGACCTCAGGGATAAGAGTTTTTTTTTATTTTTTTTTATAGCTCTGGCACAGTTTGTGCATTAGCCAGCGTCAAGTATGAGATTTTTATCATTCGTGCTTTTTGCCTTAGAAATTCGATCATATCCTCCATGTACGGTTGAGGCACTCGCCCGGTACCGCACAACTCTCCCAAAGGCCAAGAACAAATTTAAATTAAATTAAAACTTGCCCTCGAACCGGGAATCGAACCCGGCACCCCTCACCTAGCTGCCACTTAATAAGAGGGATAAGAGTTGCACGCTGAAGCCAATGAATGACAATGACAATTGACATTTTTAAAATGGCATTTGCAGAAATTAGTTCCAATAGTTTCCGCAATATGGCGAGGATATTATTTTATTGTTTAGGCTAATATTTTGATGATTCAGTCATGCATTTCTTGCACTTTACCCTTAGTATTTGATTGATGATGTTTGCTGCAATTTATCCCCCCCTCCTCTTGTTAGCAAGAGCTAAGCTCTCAAAAATAATAGTACCTAAACGTATTAATATTTTGTAGGAATCCTCGAAAATGCATTTCGTTTTCAAGCATAGACAATGTGTGGAAAGCTTGGTGTAGTGCTTTTGAAAAAATATACCATTCAATAAATGATTATTTGCGTAAGACACTGTAGTTGATATAAATTTAATAAAGTATGATATGATATGAACGATACAAATAATATAAGAATTGACCAATTCATATGACTAATTATGTAAAATTTGCGTGCCATTGTGTGTGGCTGAATATGCGACACACAATGGCACGTACTATGGTACAAGGTGGTATTCTTGCAATAAATTATTATTATTATAATATGTGTAAAAAAGTAAATAATTACTGTTGACGTAATCACCAAATAAGAAAATCAAAGACCACCCCTCCCCCCATAGTGCTTACGTTATACTTGAACGACCCTATCCCTAATTAAATATTGAAGTACTTACGATAGTACCAAGTATCATACGTTCGAACTTAAAACCATTGAGCTTAAAGTTAGCCAAGCTTTCTGCGACGGCTGGTTCAATTGTCTCCTTTAAAATGGTTTTCGCGTAGTGGTTCACATTTGGCCACACTTGTAGGAGGATCTGAAAATAATTGGCATAAAACCTTTCACTCAATATTTTTTTATAGAACGGGGGGCAAACGGGCAGGAGGCCCATCTGGGGTTCTGTTCTGTTCTGGGGCTCATTTGGTACAAACTGGAAAAAGCAATAAAAAATATATTTGTAAATATAAAGAAAAATAAATGGTACTTTATTTTGATACTATGTATTTTTTTTCTTGTGTATTGTACCAATTTACTTTAATTGTACAAAAAGGTGGCAACCCTAGTTATGAATAGGATAGTATTGGAAATATCTTACCCTGTTTAGCCACTCAGCACGTTCCACATCCGGAAAGAAGACCTAGAAATATTACATAAATAAAAAAGGTATACTAGATTTTCTGGAACAGTCTAAATCAGATTGCTATTACTTAAAGCGTCATGTTAATAATTCAATTCCTGTTCTTACAGAAGTGTCCAAAGACAAAACAAGACATATTTTAACTGAAGCACGCATCCAAACGTATCCCTCCATCTGCTTTGTATCACGCTCTCCTCTGATAAAATACAATCTTAAAGACTCTCATTTCGATAGTTATTGAATCAGTGGCGCTACAACCTTTTTAGGTCTAGGTTTATCAAATAGGCAAGTAAGTGATCAGCCTCCTGTGCCTGAAGCACGCCGTCGACTTTTTGGGCCTAAGCCAAGACGGGTTCGAGCGAATGTTAAATGCGCACATAGAAAATCCATTGGTGCTCAGCCGGGGATCGAACCTACGAACGCAGGAATGAGAGTCACACGCTGAAGCCATTAGGCCAACACTGCTCTGCTAATTTTATTGATATACCTATAATTAATTATTTATCTAGTACTTGAGTTCGCATACAAGCGCGGCTGGAGAACTTCATCTATATATCTACGTTCTTACCCAAGCTGGAAGATCGTCAAGCCGTGCCAGCACCACATCCTTCTCCGATGAAACAGCAACGACTTTTGCGAGGTTCCTCCTGTACTCATTCTCCCTTCGCCACTGGTCTCTCAATACTGAGAGAACAACTGGTCCAATCAACCATGCCACACTCCATTGCATGTAACCCACGAGGTACACTGCTCCCACAATTGATACCTGAAGAACAGTGGTAACAATTGTTACTTAGTCAGTGATTGATATCACGTTGTTAAGCCTTTAAGTATTTTTAATTCATGTAAAAAATAAATATTTGTAGTAATTGGCGCATGCGCTAATTAAAGATTTAAGTTGGCGCCTGGTAGATAGTACCGGTGGCCCCAGAGCTGGTGCTTTCCGCGCTCAATAAGTATCGCAATACACCGAGGAAATGCTGCTAGCGCTAAAGGTACACTGCCACAGGGATAAATATAATATATACAGTTACGCGATTAAATTTTCTCGTCTATTCGTTTTTTGTTTGTTCGTGTTTTTTTTTCTCCACTGAGACTCAGGCGGAATCAGTGCCAGGCCTGATGAAATTTGCAATGTGATCAAAGACGTTGACGAACTTGGTAGACAAATAAATTTAGATGTGGATAGTGATGATGTTCAAGAGCTGTTGGATTCACACAATGAGGAGCTTACAATTGATGAGCTCATAACAATGCGTGAACAAGAGGAAGAAATTGATAATCATGATTCTTTGGATCCAGTTGAATTAGAAGATCAAATGACAGTTGGAAACTTGACAGAAGCCCTCAGTTCGATTGAAAAAGGGTTAACAATTTTGGAAACCATAGACTCCAATGTAATAAAAAAATTACTAGGATGCTACGAGAAGATGTTACGGGAGAAGAAAAAATCACTGACTCGTCAGACGACTTTGTTACAATTTATGAAACCTTCTACATCAAAATAACTTCGGATTGTGTTTATACACTCTATTAATATAGTTTGTCATATTATCTAGAATTAGATACTAATTACTTCCTAAATTATTGTTTTATTTAGTCTCCAGTCCCAACTAAACATACTTTGTATGTCTTTATATGCAAAATTGTACCCCGACTTACGCGAATTCGACTTACGCGGATAGCGCTCAGTCCCACCTATCGCGTAAGTCCGGGGTATTACTGTACATAATAATAATAAAAAGTAAAGTATGTATATGCGTTATAATATATTGCAGGTGATTTATATTTTAATACTGCTATGTTGATGCGTAATTGTTTGACTGGCTAAATATGATTATTATATTAATTATATGTTTTTGATATTCGTCGGTCCATAACAGAGAATTTTCAAGTTTAGTTTTCATCAAAATAATTTATTCATATAGGTAACACAATCTACACTTATGAACGTCAATAAAGAAATATATATTAAATGATTCTAATTTTACATTTACTACGTAGACGTAGAACGGAAGAGAAGAACTGGCAATAAACTCTTCGCCGCTCTTCTTAATCGCCAATTTTTTCATCTCCTTAAATTACGCTCTCTCGAAACTGACGATGACTAGCCAGTACATGTCAAATTTAACCGTTTCGTTGAGAGACCAACTGAAGTTAATATTTTTGTCACTAAATAAGAAAGCTATAGTATTTAAAATTTTCTTTACCTACAAATTAATAATAAAAATTATTAAAAAGAAAATCAGAACAAATTTAAAGTTTTGTCGCCGTGGCAGCATTTCCTCGCTATATTGCGATGCTTATTTGTTGAGCCAGGAAAGCACCAGCTCTGAGGTCATCGGTACTTTCTACCAGGCGCCAATTTAAATGAACTAGTGTGTGCACTTGAACCCCACGGCCCAAGAGTCTCTACTCGAAAGGGAACAAAATCGAAGTTGGAGGAAAGAATCTAATATTTAAGCCTGCTCTGCGGCTTTGCTGGTAAATACTGTATACTTGATTGTAATCATTAAAATTTTAGCTGTAGGTATATAATATAAATAGCATAAGGAAATAAAACTGATTAGATAACATTGTTTCCTAATGTGGTTATGTATATTTTCCCATTTACTTTAAGTATTCCATTATATTTAATTTACAGGATATTTTATAATATTTTTAATTAAGAAACAAATATATATATTTCACATAGGAATCAGCTTAGCTACTCTGAATGGTAAAAGTTAAAACGAGTGGTTCTTGTGTCAGACAGAAATGTATTATTTGCAAGAGCTTTTTTTTATAGAACAGGGGGCAAACGGGCAGGAGGCTCACCTGATGTTAAGTGATACCGTCGCCCATGGCCAATGCCAGAGGGCTCGCGGGTGCGTTGCCAGCCTTTTAACTTGGTGCTCTCTTTTCTTGAAGGAATACGAAGGGCCTGTGCGTCCATCACCGAATGCTGAATACTCCGATCATGGACGCCCAGAGGGGGATTATCCATAGCGGAAACGCGTGGTACCCCCCTGGGGTACAATTAGCTTAAAATTAAGTTGTCCGGTTTTAGATCTATGTACTTAAAAAACGCGTAATTTTTTCTTAATTTCTCAAAAATTATTAATTCAAAAAAAACTATTTTTTTTTAATTATAAAAATTATTAATTCAAAAAATGAGTGAATAGTTTTTTTTTTCAACTAGTGACATGGAAGACTACAAAAAATCGCCGACAAAAAAAATCTGTCAATAAAAATGCATAAAACACCTGTTATAATTATCTGTTCTAATTTCAAATTGGGTTCTAAATTAATTATCTCATACAGTTAACGGTACGACAAGGTTGCTTTAAGCATTGGTTCCAAGGTTGGTGACTCAGAGAGCCATGTACCGAAATGTGAGCCTTTAGTGGTTGCAATAAGGACGATAATGTCATATATTTATTCAAAAAGTCTGACATCATTGCATTACTTGGGTGTTGTCTGAACACCATTTAATCGTAAATAAATGCGCGCGCCTACATCGATAGAATGCTAATATGAAAAGTATTATTAATTATTTACACTTTATTGCACAGTAGGAGTCAGAAAATACTAATGCGAAGTGACTACCGGATGTCAAAATCCAATATGAATCTTGCGTGGTTTAATTCAGTTGCAAATAAATACTTGCTGATAACGGTGAAAGAATTTCTTAAATCAGTTCAGTTGTAGAATTTAACCATTACATTATATTAGTGTAGATACGGCATGAAACAATTGACAAGGGGTAATGTTGTGGGGGGAAATGCAATCTTATCGAATTTTCTTTTATAATACTAACTAAAATATACCTAATATAATTTACACAATAAATTTCATATCGTCTAAAATAAGCTCAGTATATATTAAAAACTTACCTTTTTAAAGAATCTGTAGATCATAGACAAGACGTTGGTATCACCATCATTGCTCACAGGCAGAGCAAACTTGCTATTTTCAGACATATTGCTTGCCTAAAAAAATTATATACTTAAAATTTTCTCAACTAAACTTTGTATTACACATCTAAATTTTTCATTTATTAATATTGAATTTAATGTTGATTACACTTTCCTATTATAATCAATCATTTGTTTGAATATTGGAATGTCAACGAATAGTCGCAAAATAGGTATCTAAACTACAAGCAAACATAACCAATATTTTTAATACAACACACATGATTCATACACTTACTTTATTAATCCATACACATTGTTCTTCACACAGTGATAGTTATATTTTTAACTTTAAAACTGGTATAATGTTTTAATTTACCTGTAAATCATTGTATTTCTTACATTTTAATATCCATGTTATTTACAATTTGGTAATATACTTTATTTGCTTGAAGTAAAACCTAATATATTGTTTGTATTCCGAAATTTATACATTACTTAAATATTCAAAAAGATTACCTTATCTTAGGATCAGGCCATTCCTTAATCCTAATAAGAACGAATTGCTCAGAGATGACTCTTATACACTTTATTTAAAAAGGCGAAAAATAACTTTCAGATTTTTAAACTAGGGAAATATTTCGGACTATTCGGAGCAGACTAAAATTGCAGTGTGTCATTTTTATTTATAGGTTTTATTTTTAAACTTGAAATCAAACTTACCATACTCGCACTATTTATTTAGAAGATTCATCTGCTGATTATTCCGGCTGGTTTTAATGTGTACAAATATATGCAACCTCTTTGCTTGATTTGTAAAAATATACAATTAACAAGTGCTAAACAACAACACTTGACACGGCTGAGCCAGATGTGAAGTTGTGACTTGTGACTTGTGATTGTGATTTGTGAATTGTGAACATTTAAAATAAAATTTTGGCGAATGTCACTGTCAAGTTATCAATTGTCAGATTGTCGTATTGCAATAATTGTTCATAGAATTGTTCCACCGGAATCTCATGGAAAATAGGGAAATAAAAATTTAGTTGTGGGCAATACTAATTGATCTTGATACTGTTTAAAATAGTTTAATGTCTTTATAATTAATAGTCCATTGAAATGTTACATTTGCTGAACATTTGATAGAGGACGCAATTTTATTTATGGGACATGTAGGGGGGTCAATACAAGCTTAACCCCAAGTCTGTAGGGTTGGCGCCTTTGTACCCCGGCCGCCATGATGGAAAAAGGGGTGAAAACACGAAATTAAAAAAAATATATAGAGGAACATCTTCAGAAAGAGATCCTCTACAAAATTGTTCTGACATAGCTTTTTGATAAAATCTAAAGAAAAAAAGTTATAAAGCAATATAGGATTTTTTTTCACTTTTAAACTTGTAACTTTTTGAATTTTGGAATTATGATAAAAAGTCAAATAGACATAATCGTAGGCATAGCGATTTGCTACAAAATGTGTCTTTTCAAATTTTATGTACGATGGATAGTTTAAGAGATATAGCTAAAAACGTGTTTTCACCCCTTTTTCCAACATGGCGGCCGGGGGACAAAGGCGCCAATCCCACAAACTTGGGGTTAAGCTTATATTGACACCCCCAACATTTAAAATGGACTACATTGGGACATGTAGTCCCATAAATAAAATTGCGTCCTCTATCAAATGTTCAGTTTGGCCCTCAAATTGTAACATTTCAATGGACTAAGTATAACCTACCTTTAGTAGAGATATTTTGTTTGTTGATTTGATTCAGACGGACCAATATTATATATTTATTCTTAAGCTATTAAATTTAGTTAATTAATCTGATATCAGTACTTACATGCGGAAAACAAATTTTGCATAATTTTTCCCCAATTTAATTCCATTAATTCGGTACCAACTATTTGATAAGAGATTCATGTTGTCATTGTCATTGAGGAAAACTGATAATGGAATATAAAAAGAAACAAACAAAATATCTCTACTAAAGGTATCATTATAGTCCATTGAAATTGAAAAATGTGATGAGCCCGGCCAAAAAGGTTTGTAATCTCTGACATGACAAAAAATGATAGCTGTCAGAATTCTACGGAATTAAAAATCACGAGTATTAATAATTTCTCTGGGGCGTTCTTCCACATATTTTTTTCAAGCTTCTATAAAGGTTTTGTTTCAAAATTTGGAAATCATTTTTCAAGTTTTTGTATAGAATCTGAATTTCCACGAAAAAAATTTGTTTCGTATTCCAAGTCCAATGCCGTATTCAATGTATGGTTATTTTTTAGAATTGTTACTGGAATTTGAGATGAAGCGAGTCCTGTCCATCTTTATCTGATCATTGTGCCTTGCGATTCTGTAACTCACTTTTCTTACTCACACAGCGATTTGCACAGCGGCGGTCGCGCTCAAATCAGTCGTGAAGCAGTCATTTTATGATTTGGCATTCTGATAAACAATAAACTACAAGCTCGCTCCTTATCAGAATGCCAAATCATAAAATGACTGCTTCACGACTGATTTGAGCACGACCGGCGTTGCGAAAACCGCTGTGTGAGTTCGAAAAGTGAGTTACAGAATCGCACGGCTGGTCTTGGTTACAAATATATACCTACAATTATTTAGACCGAAATGATTATATTATAGAACTCAGCTAGATTTGAAAGCAGCGGAGTTGGCTTCGAAAAACCGTCTATCACATCATATAAATACTTCAAATTTATTTTCATTTCTTATTTCAAGCATATTGTGGAGTAAATATGGATTAACATTAGACTAAAAAATATTCGTTTGCTCACTACATTTTTTAACACAAGGTACTGCTACTGTTTCTGGATTCTGTTCCTTGAGAAACATCAATTGTTTAAAATAATGCCTATATATGGGTTAATAAAAAAGGATACTTTTTATAAATTTATTTCATAATTACATATAAACAAAAATTAATAAAAGCTTATTATGATTTGAAATACATTTAGATTATTGCGACAAAATCTCATGCAAATATGATAATTTGAATTATCTTATTAATTTAATGGAATGTGTAAATTATAAGACAGTAAAAAATATAAAGAATTTCATTAGCAGTATGTTCTTGCATTCCTACTTTTCTAGACCTAATTGTATCAGATTGTCAATAGTGTCTAGAGTCCAATGAAAAAAAACATAAAATGTTATTTAAATAATAGAATTGATTACGCCATATGAATTTATGCTAAGCAAATTTTTTAAATTAAATTTAAACTAAAACAAACCATAACAATTTTTTTTTAACTACTTTTCATTTGACATTCCCAAATATAGGTCAATGACATTCCTATTCCTATTAAATTAGTATTGTATGTGCAGTTCAAACAGCCTTATTAACATATTTATTATTTTGTTGCACATTTCCCCCCAATATAATTCAATTTCTTTTCAGTCTTTACATTCCAAATTTCCATTAATTAAAGAAATACACAAATACACTTTTATAACTGTATAGACCCTTTATAATAATATAGAAAAATTATTCAATTTATGTGTAGTGATTTAGGGAGCATTCAAGTATTACGTAACGAATTTTAGGGGGGAGATCCTTTTGTAAAACGTTACGATGCGGGGCGGGGATTGAATTAAGCCGTTATTGTTAATATTATTTTCGACTTTCCAGTACTTTACACCACATAATGGTAACTTTTAGATATAAAAAGTCACTAGGTGGTCACGAAACGTTTTACTATTGGGTACAGAAAAAGGTTGCGGCGCGTTACATGGGGGGTCCAATAATCTCCAAAAATTGCGTGACGTATTACTTGAACGCTCCCTTTAACAAAAGTACATTTATGTTGTATATCAATATTGCTATTTTGTACTTTTTCTAATTTATTTTTATTCCAGTAGAATTTAACATTATAAATATCGTCACCCTTTCTATATTTGTTTTAATCTGATAGAGTATTTAATCAAACTTGTATTCTTATGTAAAGGAGTTTTGCTCACTTTAGAAAATTTTATAAATATTGGTAATGCTATTTTGTAAACAAAAAAATATACCAAATTTTTTTTCAGTCCATATATTCTTAAAAATATAAAATATTGTAAATACACAATTTCCACTTTTCCTTATGTGATTATAATTATTATTAAAATGTTTTATTAAGTCAAGGTAAATCTCGAAAATGCTTATTTGAAAATTTAAAATATCTAATTTCCATCTTAAAATAAAATCTAGCTTTCCTAATAAAAATATTAATATAATAATAAATGTTTTTTTTTTTCAGTCCAATTTGATTTTTTTCTAATTTTATCTGGATATTGAGAACTTAAAAATACATACAAAGTTCCACATTTTTATAAAATATACATAAAATTTGTGTATGTATTTCATGAATATAAGATACAATAAATTATATATTTTTTCAACTGTGATAAAAAGATAGTTAAAAATATTCATTTGTGTGTTTAATCAATTGCTAATTTTTAAAAACTATTTTTTTCTCTAGAAAAATATCGATAAAATGTTTAAAAAAAACATTACTTTTAGAATAAAAATTAAAAAAATATTTGCTAAATACATTTAAAAAACCTTATCGATATATATTGTTTTAGCTAATTTACTTATGAACGCATTGAGCTAAAAATTGTATACATTTCTCTGAAGTGGGAAAATTTTGAGTTATCCAGTTAAATGTTTTATTTTATCCAAAAGTGCGTCACAGGTCTTCTTAGCGTCTCCTAGTAACATAGCTGTGTTTGGATTGTAGAATATTGGATTATCTACGGCTGCATAACCCACACCCATAGACCTCTTCATGACCACGACCTAAAAAATGTATATAAGTTATAATAACAATAATAATCAGTGGCGCTACAACCTTTTAGGTCTCGGCCTCAGATTTCTGAATCTGTTTCACGATCATTTTTTAAATCTAATAGGCTAGTAGGTGATCAGCCTTCAGTGCCTGACACACGCCGTCGACTTTTTGGGTCTAAGACATGTCGGTTTCCTCAAGATATTTTCCTTCACCGTTCGAGCAAATGTAAAATGCGCACATAGAAAGAAAGTCCACTGGTGCACAGCCGGGGATCGAACCTACGACCTCAGGGATGAGAGTCGCACGCCGAAGCCACTAGGCCACTGCTCTGCTATATAAGTTATAGGTTATACATTAAAAGATCTTCCTACTAGAGTTTTTTGAAATCGACTTAAAGCACTACTTTTGGAAAAAATGTATTTATTTATATGTTCTAAAACAATGTGTATGCCTAAAAAATACAAGGAAATATTACATCACAAATTTAACACACAATTACATTAGAACGTAAGCAATCTATCAAAGGAAAAAATTAAACCAACCGAAAAATTAAAACAAAATAATAACTAAAAAATAACAATAATAGCGTTAAAGGTACACTGCCACAGGGACCAAACTTTTTAATTTGTTTTGATTATCTTATTAATAATTTTTATTATTACTTTGTAGGCTAAGAAACTGTACTTGATTGTAAATATGAAATGTTTAAAATTTTTACAATAACAATAATGACCAAAACTAAATGAAAACTTAAACCTCATTAAGAGCATGACAGACAAAGTTACGGTAAATTGAAAGATTGTTTTAAAACACATGAATATTAAGATGTTAGTAATCAAGTTGTAAGAGCGATATATTCACTGGACCATTCAAAGTAGCACTAATAATTATATTATTAATTATTGATTATTTGTTTTGTTCATACAATGTAAGTTTTCTATCCATATCATAGCGCAGTCCCTATCTAAAGTATCTGTCTCTTTTCATAACAGCATAAACGCAATTTGACAGAAAGAGACGAAAAATTACTTTAGTAAAAGTGAAATTGAGATGTAGTTTTTAAGCGAGAGATCCCTATGAACAATTTTAAATTAATGCATATTAAAACACACAATAACAAATCTTTCTAAAATGTTCTATGAAACATTTTCTCAATATTAAGTGTTTATTGTATGGACCCATTGATAAGCAGTGTTGCTTTGTAGCTTAAAACTGAGTTTTTTGTGTATATATTTAACTATTTTTTTTCACCTGATTTGCTTTCCACACTTTAAGTACTGGCATTCCTGCAATTGGTGAGTCGGGGTCATCTTCAGCTGCGCTGTTCACTGTATCATTGGCACCTGTAAATAATTTATTACATTTTAGCAGGTGTTACATATCCATTGCACTCCCTTTACCCTGTAGAATAGAATTCAGATTGAGGCCTCCCTAGTAAGTCAGAGACCTGAAACAGGGAAGCCTCGCTCTTCTATACATTAACAAAGTTTTAACAAAATAACCAACACAATTGGTTTAAAACGTGGGTACTGTAATAAAAGAAAAAAAATATGATGACTGTGTGACGATGATATGAATGTGTAATTGTGTGTGTGTGTGTGTGTGTGAAAGGCGAAATCCAAGTGAAAGTGTACATGAAAAATATGCATAAGGGAGCGTTCAAGTATAACGTCACGCAACTTTTGGAGATTATTGGACCCCCCAGTAACGCGCCGTAACGTTTTTCTGTACCCAATAGGAAAACGTTTCGTGACCACCCAGAGACTCTTTATACCTAAAAGTTGCCATCATGTGGTGTAATACTGGAAAGTCGAAAATAATATTAACAATAACGCGTAATTCAATCCCCGCCCCGCATAGTAACGTTTTATAAAAGGACCCCCCCCTCAAAATTCGTTACGTAATACTTGAAAGGTCCCTAAAGGAAAAACCTATAAAATGGGATTCAACAGTGATTCCGTCTTGTCATAATCTCGTGTACCAAGCCAATGGCTTAAAGTTGTTTTACAATTTATTGTGGTATGCAAGATTATGCAAGCCAAGGGTTTTATTTAAAACTAGCGGACCCGACAGACGTTGTCCTGTCTTAACTATGAATATTGATTTCAAATTGGTATAATTAATTAAAAAATATTTCAGAAACAAAGTGTTTATTACTCTAATGCTTTATGTTATACAATATTCATTGTTTGTTTTTCTGGCTCGCATATTATTATATTATCAATATAATAACTCCGATCGAAGCATTTATTTTAAACGATATTCATTTTTCTTACATCCTCTTTGACGATATTTGCAGCACGCATTCTGTCAATGTTATGTCAAACGCCATAAGGTTACATCAAAAAGTTCGAATTGTATGGTGGTTAAGTATTCTTAAATTTTCTAATTTTCCGCGCAATCTTTTTCTTTTTTTCTTTTATAAGAACCTTCTCCTGACAATTACAAACACAACAAAAAAAAATAAGACAAATCGGTCAAGCCGTTTTCATGTTATGTCGTGACAACGGAAAACGGGTTTCATTTTTATATATATAGATATTATAGAGATAGGCTGCACCCTTCTTATGCAACAGCATTATAAAAAGAAGCAGGCAACAGACATGGACCTCACATTGGACCGATCAAATCTTAAAATTAGTAATAAGTCTGAAATATAGATTATTGATTGACCATCTCATATAGAGTCAATTCAATTGTCATATTAAATTAAGTTAAATAATTTTAATAGTTTCATTGATGTAATTTAAATATTTAGTTTTTTTTTGTATTACACAAATAAAAAAAGACCTTCACACAGAATGATTGACGTTCTAGAACGGGCCTTAGACTGCTAAAAGGTTCGCGAGTGCGATGCTGACTTTTTAAAAGGACCCTAACTCAAATTGGTTCGGAAGTACTTCAATGGGCAGTTGAATTGTATGTACATAGGGTAGATGAAAATAATTTTAACGATCACAAAATCTAATATATAAAATTCTCGTGTCGCGGTGTTTGTGTTTAAACTCCTCCGAAACGGCTCGACCTATTCTTATGAAATTTTGTGTGCATATTGGGTATGTCTGAGAATCGGACAACATCTATTTTTCATCCCCCGAAATGTTAAGGGTCCACCCCTATTTTTTTTTTTAATTTTAGATAAAAAATTTATTCTTTATTTTTTATGATACAGCATTAAAAAATACATACAACCCCTAATTTTCAGCCCTCTACGATCAACCCCTATTTTTTATTATAAATGATAAACATGGCAAAACGACGTTTGCCGGATCAGCTAGTAATATATAAAATTTAAGGATGTGAGCCTCCAACAATAAGTCTAAAATCGCATTGGCGCACGCCCTACTCCCACTTTACCTGCGTGCACGCACGCATACGCGCGGAAGCAAGCAAGAGCATTTTTTGTGGTTGTGTGTGTTGTTGTGGCGATAAAGTTTGAATAAAAATACATTTGAAATGTGAATGTGAGAATTTTAAGATAATAAATAATATGTATATGTTACATGTAAAAGTAGTGTTGACCTAGTGGCTTCAGCGTGCGACTCTCATTCCTGAGGTCGTAGGTTCGATTCCCGGCTGTGCACCAATAGACTTTCTTTCTATGTGCGCATTTAACATTCGCTCAAACGGTGAAGGAAAACATCGCGAGGAAACCGGCTTGCCTCAGAACCAAAAAGTCGACAGCGTGTATCAGGCACAGGAGGCTGATCACCTTGCCTATTAGATTGACCAATGATCATGAAACAGATCCAGAAAAATGAGGTCCAAACCTAAAAAAAAAGATTCTAGCGCCACTGATTTTTTTACAAATAAAAATGGTAAACTAATGTTTACCTATAACAAGAACTAAATCAGTCTCCGGGAACTCTTCGTTAATCTCCTCCATCTCAAACACGTCGTCATATGGAACTCCAGCCTCCGCCAACAAAACGTTCAATTGTCCCGGCATACGACCTGGAAATTTACGGTGATTATTATCTTAATGGCTCAGCTACGAGCATGGTGATTGGTGAATGTCATGAAATTGGATGAAGCGAGAGAGGTAAGGACCGTGGCAAGTGGTCACACACACACACCCTTCGGGAAAAAGGCGTGATAATATAAATACATTTTTATGTTATTTAAAAATTGGATTTAATTATGGATTGGATAAAAGGATAGCATTTACTGTCAATTTTGTAAATAACTCAAATAAATCTATATATATGAAAGAAAAATGGTCTTCGTTTGAGGCTCCTTCACGCCTAAACCACTGATCGTATCGACATGAAACTACCACCATTCGATGCGAAATTTTTCGGTTTATGGCTATTTATTTATTAAATTCCAACGTTCCTTCATTTTTTTATTGCTGTTTTACTTTTATGAAAATTTATCCATACGGACTTCACCGCGGAAACATTCGGGGAGGCTTCCTAGAACCTCTAAACGTCAACATCTGTTAAAAACTCGATTTTCGAAATATTTCAATTTTTTTAGCGGGAAGTTAAAAAGAAGAATAATAAAAATATGAAAAAAAAATAAAATAATGAAACATAACATTTATTTTAATTCGTCCAGCAAAGCGGGCGCGAAACGGCTAGTAAATAAATAAAATAAACTTAATTGTATTTTATTGTAGTTTTATGTTATTTCTAGTTTGAGTTTGGCCATGCATGGGCTGTAAGTAACTAAATAAAAAATAAATAAATCTTGTAAGTAATATGTATTGGTATGTTATTTAAAGCTGGCGGCTTCAATACATTCACACTTTGTGCTTGTGTAGTGTCTGTGAATAAGCGCGAGGCGTGATGTCAAACTGAAATACAATCACAAATACATCATGAAAAGACTGTCCGTCTCTCTTGCGCTCGGTCAAGCTTATGAGTATAAAAGAGACAGTTATTGTTTTGCTTTTGCTACTGTACATGTTGATCTTATTTCAAACATTACCAGGACAATCTCGTGAAATGGTGCACAATGTTTTTAATTATTTTAAGCATCTTAATAAAAACAGTTTAATGAAAAAATGTAATATTTAATTTGACATCAGATGCGGGGGTTTCTAAGAGGAGTATTGGTCTGTTATCTAAAGCTGGCACATAATATTTATATGTATTTGACACATTTTTATTTATTTACAACCCACCCAACCTTACTAAAACCAGAGTAGACTAAAATATATAGCTTGGCAAAAAAGTCATATTTTTAAACACACTGTATAGTTAAATTGCATTAGTGTGAGTACTGTGAACGCGCCAGCTTTCGATAACCGACCTATACCGCGAACTATTTATACAACTTATCAAAGAGAGGATATAAGTTTTGATCTTAGTAATTCAAAATCATTTATTCTTAAAAAATGTACACTAATGAACGTCAAAAAAGAAACATACATTAAATGCTTCTAATTTTTCATTTACAGTTCTCAAATCAAGGGTGTAGAACGGAAGAGAAGAACTGGCAATAAACACTCCGCCACACTTTGTAATTGCCATATGATATAAATCAAATAACAAAACTTTGAATACTTCTACAGAAAACCTTCAATATAAGTTTGTTTTATGACATTTCGCTTTTGGCATTGACAGCTCGGTCTGTTTTACCGAGCATAACTCGGCTGGAATGGGCTTTTCCCCGCGACCAGTGATTTTCTCCTGCGAGACTCGGACCTCGGTCCTCGCGGGGTAGTCCATCTCCTTAAGGGTAGGACGGTAGCACACTGGAGTGAGCGAAGTACGTTATAAGGAACCTTGTTTACCCGGTAAAGGCGATTTTACTCAAGTCTGAAATGGCCTTACCGCGCGGGCGGGTTTTAATATGTGATCTACAGTGATTGGACCATAGAACGTGTCGGATTGAATGCTTTTGCAGAAATAATCGTTAATATGGCCCATGTCTGATGAATGATGATTACGATTGCTGAAAAGTATAATTATAGAAAAAAATACAGAAATTACCTGCTACGGGATGAATAGCAAAGCGCACTTTCTTGCCAATATCTTTTAAAATGTTTACCAGCTCCGCAATTGGATATTGTGCCTTGGCGACACACAGTCCGTAACCTGAAAAATAAACAATAAAAAATTACTTTCCAGTCCTTGTTGAGAATCTCCGGCTCGAAGGACCAAAAGTTGTGAAGGAAATTAGACATTATGACCAAATAATCTTTAATATACTAAATTCAGCACAATTTCATAGACTACGATTCAAAGTTCAATCTATTTGGAATTGATCAAAATAAAATAAATTGGTGGCGCTACAACCTCTTTAGGTCTGGGCCTCAGATTTCTGAATCTGTTTCATGATCATTTTTAAATCTAACAAGCAAGTAGGTGATCAGCCTTCAGTACACACACGCCGACGACTTTGGGTCTTAGACATGTCGGTTTCCTCACGATGTTTTCCTTCACCGTACGAGCAAGTGTTAAATGGGCACATAAAAATTCCATTGGGGATCGAGCCTACGACCTCAGGGATGAGAGTCGCACGCTGAAGCCACTAGGCCAACACTGCTCAAAAAAAAAATATTGTCTATTAAAAACATAAATAATGTTAAATAAAAAGGTAGTAACAAGTTGTGGCTTCTTACCTGGAGTAATAATAATATTGGAAGCACGGTGAATTAAATCGGCTACTGTATCAACATTCATCTCAGTATGCACAGCTCCAGAGGGACGGGCAGTGCCACTTGTAGTGACACCATAACCGCCAAGAATTACATTCGGAAGGGAACGATTCATTGCCTAAAATATTAAACCCGCTAAAGATTTCTCGTAATATCTTTTAGTTTTTTGAAGTTATACTTCTTTAGGCGCGTTATGAAAAATTGATGAGAGTGAAATTTTACGATGCGCGCGCACCGTGACACCAAATTAACAGAATGAAGTTGCCCACGGAAGATGCTACGGCATTGGACATAATTTAAAAATAACATTCGAATAATAATAGAATTTATGTTACACTTAATGTAAGAGAATAATAATAAATATTTATTTATTTAATTTTTCAAATGTAAACTGAACTTTATTGACTATAATGACTCCTTCCAGTCTTTGATTATTTAATTGTAATTAATTATTTGCATGCAATCAAAAACTATTTTTAATAATACCAAAGAAGTATAACTTCTTACGCGCGTACATAAGTACACGCACCCTTTTTTTTCTTAACAGAAATGATCAGCCGTCTGACATGACTGACTACTGAAGGTCTTCTTTTGGAGCGTTAGGGAAAAATTATGATAGTAAATTTTTACGATGCGCGCACACCGTCACAAAAAACCGACACCCTGAATATCTGTTCAAACGTCGGTAAAATAGTCTGGACCGCTAATTGGCGCTTGCTCTGTTTTATCGACAAGTTGCATTCTGTCATGGCGTAGTGTTTTTCAGAGTCCTGTTTATTTAAACTAAAATAATGATTTCTATACGAGAAAACCCGTTCCAATGTGATAAAAAACATAGTGTTTGTTGTAAAATATCATGATATTATTATAGTGACCATTAAAATGGACTAGAAAAATGCAATTCTAAGAGGGAAAGGTCCCTCTAAAGTGCTCGAAGAAAATTATTACGCCGAAGAAGTATAACTTCTAACGCGTGTACATAAGTACACACACGATTTTTTTTACATAAATAACTCTTACTAATTACCTTGCACATAATATATGAAAGTATAGCTCCCGAACTGCCTATGAGTGCCCCAACAATCGTCATCAGGGAATTATTCAGCATAAACCCTTCAGCACACAGGGCCCAGCCAGAATAACTGTTTAGCACTGTTATTACTACTGGCATATCAGCTCCTAAAAACATATAAAACTAATTAAAACCCGCCGTTCCACCTGCGTTTAAGCCACGTGATCAATGCGTATTGCGGAGTTATTTTACAAAAAAAATAATCATTATTAATTAATAATTAGAAACGCAAACAAAATTTTAGCGATCATCGCACACTTGATGCCAAAATGAGCCTTTTTTTTCCACACTCATAAATTGTAATATAACATTTTTGTTTACGTTAAGTTATAACTGTTTTTTGTTTACTGGTCCAATACTGAGCTACACTTAATATTCTTTATAGGTAACAGAATTGTCACTTAGATTTAAGAACCCTTAAATAACTCAAGTTATATTTGTTAGCGTCGCAAAGTCGCAAGATTATAGCCAGTTGACAACCACCTTCAAACAAAGAGTTTCATTTATTTGAATTCAACAACCGCCACCGAACTTATCTCGGGTTATAATGTTTAATATGTAAATTAATTGATATACATAGCTGATTGTGTAGTTCTTTGTAATCTTAATATATATAAATCACGCGTCACGTTGTTTGTCCGCTATGGACTCCTAAACTACTTAACCGATTTCAATCAAATTTGCACACCGTGTGCATTTTGATCTAACTTAAAAGATAGGATAGCTTACATCTCAATTTATACCCGCAATATTTTTTTATTGCAAAATATTTGTTTCTTATTTAATAGTCACAATTCTAACAGATGGCGCTGTGTTGAAAGTACCAACGTACCACTTAAGCTACAATTTAACGGCATAGCAACCAAAAAGCTTGGTGGTCCTCATGACTGGTGTTCTCCTACCGTTTCCCTTGAATAGTTTACTACTTTGTAATATAACAAAAACCTTGGCCACAGCAACGCTTGGCCGAGTCTGCTAGTTATATTCTATAGACTTATGAAATGACTTGCTGTCGGCCTAAAGTAAACTTTATTTATTTCTAAAATAATACTTAAAACAATCTTTATAAAACGTGTACTAAAGCATCGTGTTTCCATGGTTACGAGGTTAGTAACGAACACGTTCTGTAGTCCAGGTTTTAAAAGATCGATTGATTTAGTATAATTTGGTCAAAAAATACACGCGTTATGTGTACTTGCCTCCGATAGCAGCGGTTAGAGTCAGTCCCTGGATTCCGCTCAAAACAGCGGCCGCAGACAATAAGGGCAGGCCGGGGGCATCGGGCATCGCTATTAGGGCTCCTCCACAGCCCAAAGACCCCGCTAAAAGTCCCGCGTTAATCGCATGACGTCCTGGCAGCAATAATGGCGCCGAGGATAACGAGCCTTGGAGTTTTCCATATGCTATCAATGAACCACTATAAAAGAAAAATTGTTAAGAGAACCGTCGAAAGTTCCGTTCAGTTATGTGGACGTTACGTCATTATAGTTTGTGAAAAAAATGAGCCACGTGACACAAAACGTAGCAATCTTGTAAATTGTTTCTACTAATATTTAATCCTATACTCTGTTTTGTAATTCCGTAGAATTCTGACATTTCATAAATGTTGCTACTTAAAAAAGACAAATTTGACCGATTTGAAGGCAAAACAATTAAAATGCGACGTATTTTTACGTTCTATCTATAAAAAGTTAAATCTAAATATTTCCTTACTCAAGTGACCTAATACAAAAATAACAAATATTTCAATATATCGAATTAACTTTATTTTATTCTTTAGCTGGCATCACTGCCTACTAATTCCAGGTTTAGTAAACCTTTTAAAAAATAAAATGTTATCTTTACTTTTGCGTTTTTTTACTGTTAGTGATGAAAAGGGACGTAATTATCACTCGCCGTATAACCAGTTTTAATGTAGACCACATTAAAACACTTAATAAATTGTGTACATTCACTAACAAATAAACTGTATGAATATACTCAGATGTTCAGACTCGTATTGAAATTGAAAAATGAGCCCGGCCAAAAGGTTTGTCATCTCTGACATGTCAAAAAATGATAGCTGTCAGAATTATACGGAATTAAAAATCAGAGTATAGTTGAATGAGCTCTTGACTTACGTGAACGTAATCCCTCCAATATAAGTCCCCAGGAAGAGAGATGTCTTCAGGGTAACTGCTGTCGGGTCTAAAGCCATCGCTGGGAAATCATGCATGTACGTCGCTAGGCAGGTCAAAACCGCTGCCATACCAACCAAGCTGCAAAAAAGTGCTAACATACAGAAGCCGTGGAATATCAGGTCGCTGCAGTGCTACCTTTGAAATCTGTTGCGTCATTAGTCAAGATGGCGATATCTTGTTCTCTTTCTATAGCGCAGTTTCGTCGTACTGTTAGCTTACAAAATTTAATAGTTTAGGAAACCAGCATGCCTTTACACAGCATGCAATAAAGAACTTAAATATTAATTATAAAAAAGAGATCAAGCTAATTAACAAAAACATAAAATATATATATTTAAACTAATTTTATATTATTACGTATTTATATATTATGTTTCATTATATGTACAGTATTGTCTAAATAACTATGTATTTTTGAACATCATTCAGGCCGTTAGTTGAACGGCGCTGTTTAAAATAAAAATTAAATAAAATATGTTTATTATGGAATATAAGATTATATCACTTATTCCACGTCATTAATTTTGAATTTGTAGGCATCCCTACTCATCGGCAAAGAAGACAGAGGGTGTAGGCCGAGAGAAAAAGCCGGCGTAAAAAAAACTCTCGGTACTCTTTTAAAATAGCAAATCATCAAACAACAATTATTTTAAAACAAATATCGCAAATTAATTAGAAGTAGCCTGTCTAGCACTAGTCCCAGGCCCTTTTATCAACTAGATAATCGTTGACTTTATAGTAAGCCTTTTTACACAGCTTTTCTTTAACACATTTCTTAAATTGATTAAAAGGCAGAGATAAAAGAGCCTCTGGGATTTTATTAAAGAATAGTAAAATACTGTTGATTGAACGGCTACGACATATATATGTTATTAATTTACTCCCCCCGATAGTTTCCCCTTCCCTCTGCCCCGAAAAAATGCCAACCCCTACTACCTCCGTCCCACCTTTTTGTTCTACCGACCCAAACATACCTATGAAAACCAGCGACAAGCTGTGGCAAATCGGTAATTTCGATTTTCTTAGCGATCACACCACCTAACGCCCCACCGATGCCAGCAACGCCCAACATTTGTGCGAACACCTCCGCACTCGGCGTTAACGCTCCCAGCGTAGCCGCTATACCCCCAGCCACGCCAATCTGTATATATAATAAAAATTTATACAAACCTAAAAAACTAAAATTATATAACGCTGTTATATTTAAATAACTGCTGGTTCCGCGAAAGATTGCTTTAAAAACGACACATATCCAGAGATATTAATAAATACGGGGCAAACCAAAAGATCTAGATCTAGAAAGAAGAGAAATTGGTATCGGTTACCAAATCTATGGATATACCATTTATCCAGTGGTCAAAGGATCAAAGAATTCATTCAGAAGCGAGGACAGTGAATCGCGCGTAGTGGACAGGCGAGTTCTATAAGCGTCTACACACGGCTCTATACTCCGTTTTTTAATTCCGTAGAATTCTGACAGCTATCACTTTTTCACGTCAGAGATGGCAAACCTTTTTGGCCGGGCACATTTTTCAACTTCAATACGAGTCTATAAATACATTTTATTTGTTAGTGAATGTATCCATTTTATTAAGTAAGGTGCTCCACATTAAAAGTCGTTTAAAGGTGGCCATTCACGGGCGATCCATCGATACATTTGGCACGCTGTCGTTCCAAAACTCGTCCATGAATGTGAAAACACTGTCGGTCCAAATGGATTGGCTCGGCTCGATGGAATTCCAACTGCGCGAAAGTCCATCGCGCCGAGTCAATTAGCGCGGCGCGCATACGCAGGCGGCGCGCTCGTGAATGCGGAAAACCAACGGTCCTGTCGGTCTGAGCCATCGTGCCGTACGGTTTGCTCGCTCGTGAATGGTGTTACTCGCGAGCCAAACACCGCGCCATTTTGATTTCTGATTGCGTTTAGCCGTTAGACGAGAAGCACGTGACGCATTCTTAATATAAATCGTTTTCGCAATGAGTTCAAACCGTGACTTTGTTAATCAATTTATTTATAAGTTTAGAGACCTGACGTGTTTGTGGGATGTGACAGATATAAATTACCACAACAAACAAAAATGCGATGCAGCATTAGAGGTTTTGCTAAGTTTTTGTAAAACCAAATCGCCTAACGCCACTATTGACACAGTAAAAAAAAGAAACTTCAGGCACTAAGAGCCTCATTCAGGAAAGAGTTTAATAAAGTAAGTACTTATACTTATAACCTAGCTGTTTATTATTTAATGTTGTGTGTAATAATGTTGAGGGGTTAAATATTTTTGCGTCGTATTTCTGTTCATATTCGTTAAGACATACCTACTACGTTGTTGAATACGCGGTACGCTATTTTTTTTAAAGACAATTCACACCAATTGATCTAGTCCCATGCTAAGCTGATGAAGCTTGTGGTATGGGTACTAGGCAACGGATATACATACATATTATAGATAGACATATAAATATGTACATATTTAAGCACCCAAGACCTAAGCACAACACCAAATGCTCATCACATCGATGGTCGTTTCAGCCGGGGATCGAACCCGGGACCCATGGATTCGCAGTCAGGGGTACTAACCACTAGACCAATGAGTCGTAGTTTATCGGACCGAGAGTGGGATAAAAAAATAATCCAATTATTAATAAACAAAGGATATTAAATTAATCCTTCGTATATAATATACATATATACTTTGTATATATAATATAATTTAATATACAGGTTGGAATTTATTCATACACTGATTGACTTCTCGTCGTAAATACCGTCACAATAGGGTTAAAAAGAAAACAATAAATACATTATTTATTTATTTATTTCAGGTTAAAGCATCAATGCAATCAGGAGCTGGTACAGATGACATCCATGTTCCAAAATTATGGTACTATGACGAATTAATACAATTAGAACAAGAGACCAAAAAATCAGGCCGATGATTTCACTGAATAACAATCATTACCTGTCGACATCGTTAAAATGGTTCCTGTGCACTTTTTTATTATTATTAGTATAATTTTTTTTAAATGTATCCTTTATTAGTTTAGTTTGTTTTTTTTGTTCCTGTTTAGTTTCTTTTTCTTTACAAGTATATGTAATACATGTACTTTTGCACTTTTTGCCTACCTTATGTAATTTAATACATTTACTTTTTTTCTTTTCTCACAGTGGTTGCCTGGATGAGATCGCTCGAAAGCGATAAGGCCGACAGTTGCCTTTCCTTTACTTGTAATTTTGTTTCATATAATCCTTAAGAGCAAAAAGAATAGCTTTACATGTATCGGAAATTATCACTCCCAAACGTTGTGGAGAGGTAAGTGTAGGAAATTTCAACTCCTCATATGACATGCCCGAAGCTAAGAATCGAAGAGTGGCACTACATGTGTGTGTGTACATGAGGACTTATAGCTTCCCTCATATTAGTGTTTTTTTTCTGAATCAGCGGAGTCACCAGTTCCAAAAGTTTAAAATAGGTAGGTTCATTCATTCGCATATAATTTCTCCAGTCAGTTGGCTCCAAAGTCAATTCCTTCATTAAATTTATGTGAGTGAGTTGCGATCTTTTCAGCAACCAATCCTTACACCACTTTATTTTTGGCTTAGACAAATCGCTATGGTCGATAAACTCATCTTCTGAATCGAAGTTCATTATGAACACGTGCGGTGCTATCGACGCCTACACTCAAACTGATCAAATGGAACGGCTCGCTGGCGCGTTCGTGAATGGCATGAATTTGGCTCGTCGCGACGTCGAGTATCGAGCCCGTGGCGCGAAAGCCATATAGATCGCCCGTGAATGGCCACCATAACATCGAGTGGTAATTACGTCCCTTTTCATCACAAACAGTTAAAGCGAAGAAGTTAAGATAACACTTTATTTTATTAAAAAGGTTCAATAAAACTAGGATTAGTAGGCAGTGTGGCCAGCTAAAGAATAAAATAAAGTAATTAAAGTTAATTCGATATATTGTTCGTGATATTCAAATATTTGTTATTTTTGTACTTAGGTCACTTCAGTAATTAATTTTTTAGATTTACCTTTTTGTAGGTAAAACATAAAAATACGTAGCATTTAATTTTTTATTGCCCTCAAATGGATAAAATTTGCCCCTTTTTCGGTGGAGAACTTTTTTAGTAGCAACACTTATGAAATGTCAGAATTCTTCGAAATGAAAAATCGGAGTATAAAATCAGTGGTATCGGGACAATGGTGGTGGTGGTGATGAAATACTAATATTATTATTTTTTTCTACTAAGTATTAGTATTATTATTATTCTTTTTTGCGACTAAGGCGCAAACTAACTGTTGTGGTCTCTGGCAGAATGACCAGCGCTGTGGAACAGTCTGCTCTTCAGTATAATGCTGAGCCAGGGCCAATTACAACCACAGCACACACGCATTACACACTTAACCTTATTTTAAAAAAAAAAATGTTATCTCTCTTTCTTTTTATTTTTTTCTTTGATTATTGTTTTTTGAGTGTTTTGTTAGTAATAAATGTTGTCTATGTCTAATAAAATTAGAGGGAATGATCTATTACCACCACTTCCCCGATATTGTCTCTGATTTTAGCGCCGTGTGTCGACGCTTTTAGACAAATAACGACAGTGACAGCTGACAGTAGCGCTATTGCTCTGACATAAACCCAACATTAAAGAAATACCTTTTAATTATTGAAAATAGTTGGGTGTTTTAATAGTCAATCTTTCGCGGTTAAAACAGCACATCATAGGCCGATACACAACCTCATATTACTAAAGAATCATCAAATCGACGAGCAATTACCCAAGATGCCACGTTTAAAATAGTACAATAGTAGTGTAACATGTATTTTCACTTAAAAACAAATGTTATGGAACTTCTATTGCGATCAGATCATTGCTTTACCAAAAAAATTAGCTAAAAAAAGGGAAATTTTTACTAATAAATTTTATACTTATGATTTTTTTTATCATTGCTATACTACAAAATTTTTAAAAAAATATTGCTATACCAAAAAATTTGTTAAAAAATATTGCTATACCAAAAAATTTGTTAAAAAATATTGCTATACCAAAAAAAATTTTTTTTAATTTTGATAGAGTAACGATCTAGTGATCTTTCTGTCTCAATGTTTTTACAATGAACAAAAGATATGCTTACGTCATCAAGATTACAATGAGCGGGCGACACTTGGGTTGAGTCTGTAGCTACGTCTTTTTGTTTATGAATGCCTTTTCTAATCATCGGTTGCAATCGGTATTACAGAAACCGGTATAGATTCGATACTTTTCAATATTCTTATTCTTAACTTCTAAATCGGAAACTTTCGTTAAAAAATGTCATCTATTATATTATGTAAAGAAATATACAAACAAGCTACTAAATTGAATTTGTCAGAAATTGTATTAAAAAGTATCGAATCTGTTTCCACACCTTTTAAAGACTTACCATTCCAAGATAATTTCCCTTTCTAGCTGTTCCTTGCGAACTTAGACCCGCTAATGCGCCTACGCAGCACAGAGATGATGCGAGATACGCCATTTGATGGACTTCAGGGTACCCCTACCGAATAACTCAATTTATTTATTTTGTCCCAAACATATGATAATTAAATATATTATATATATAGTAAAACTATATGCAGTTTGAGCAGTGTTGGCCTAATGGCTTCAGCGTGCGACTGTCATCCCTGAGGTCGAAGGTTCGATCCCCGGCTGTGCACCAATGGACTTTCTTTCTAAGGGCGCATTTAACATTTGCTCAAACGGTGAAGGAAAACATCGTGAGGAAAAGTCGACGGCGTGTGTCAGGCACTGGAGGCTGATCAACTACTTGCCTTTTAGATTGAAATCTGAGACCCAGACCTAAAAAACCAGTAAAATCACCGTTTTTTTTTACATCATTGCGTACTTGTACAAATTTCAACATTTAGTAGTTCTACCGATATTATTCGGTATACTGATATCGATAAAATATATATTTTTTTAATATATTAAACTTTTGATACCTGCATTGCTGTCACGATGTATCCAGCTAGCAACGCCGTAGCTGGTATCCCATATAGATAACCATATTCCGGAGGATCGCCAGGCCTATAAATAAATTTGATAGTCTGAACTCTGAAACGTCCCATACCCCAATCTTGCATCGAAAGACACAATATAGTTTCGGCATCGTATTGATCTCTCTTTCACACACGTTCAGTTAGTTATTCGATAATTTGTCAAATACCGATTACGATGATACTTTAATTGTTGTTATAAAAATCAAATCGATATGTTGGCTACATTTGTAAACACATACAAATAAATTGTTATACTCAAACCACTACCAACAGTTTTTACTAAAAGGTCGCTGATAACTTTTTAAAGTCGGTAAAAATTGTTTCACAGTGCCACATACTTTTCTTGGCCGGTGGCTGAAATTAGTACTACCGTCGCCATTTTGAAATGTCATATAAAAAAAATGTATTTATTTAAAGTGAAATTTTTATTACATCGTCTCAAACTTTTTCGTCTGTGTGTTGCATGTCGCGTGACGGTCGGCCGCGGAGTAGGGATAAAGTGAAAGGGGCTCGTCAAAGTATGCAAGGCCAATATGGCGGCGCCTATAGTTCGCAGCAGCTGACCGTGTAGTGTATAGACTATTATTTAATATGTGTATATAATCTAAATTATTGTTAAGTATTATGTATGTCTGTCTCTCTCTAAAACACAGAGTTCAATAAAAATATTAGTTGGGAGACTTAGACTTTTATTATTTCCCATTATCATTCCAATTTTCCAAGTATAAAATTATGATTGATAAAGCGATTTTTATATCCTTAATGGAATATTAATCCAAAAAATTTAAATTAAATGTCTATAATGTGAAAAAAAGTTTCACTTTTACAGTGGTTTCATAAAACCACACAATCCTTTTTTTATTCCTTGGAATATTAATTAGACTGAACCTAGCTTAGAACCGTATTTTCTAGATACTAGTATAAATTGTTTTATTAAGACATTTCAATAAATTATTAAGTTAGCCTGCATGACTTCAAATTATTCCCCTTATAATGATTAATTTTTATTTACTGGCAATACTAATATACAGCGAAGCTCTTACCGGCCGAGAAAAGTATGTGGCACTGACTGTTCAGCTGTATGAATTAATACAAAACAATGATGTACTTAATTCTGAATTAGCATTCGTATTCGGAAATTAATCCGAATCGGAAATGAATAATCGAATCGGATTACCGAAAAATACCGAATATTCTTACCGTTTAAACATATCCAACATACGTTGAGTGACCATGAATCCTCCAAAGACGTTAACGAAGGAAATCAATGCAGCAGTACTTGCCAGCCACTGGAAAAAAACAAGCAATTTTTGTTAAGCAAAAAATATACATTACAAATAATTATCGATTTTTTTTTATCGATATAGATCGAGATTTTGAAATTGATATTTCGACTTAGAATTTTATGTACAGATTTTGAAATTTATGTTCAGGTTTAGAAATTTGTTTAGATTTAGAAATTTATGTCCCGATTTCAAAATTTGTGTTCAGATTTTGAAATTGATGTGCCTCTGATTTTCTTCATAAAATATTTACCTGAACAGGCGTCTCAGGTACGTATCCACCGCCCATGAGCAATAATCCGCCTACCGCAGTAATTCCTGACACGGCGTTAGTCACAGACATAAGTGGCGAATGGAGGGCTGGAACCACGCCCCACACCGTATGGTATCCGACCACGCCTGTAATTAAGTATAGGAAGTAAGTAAAGTTTGTAAGCAGGGTGGCTGGGTCTAGTTAAAATATTTTTTTTAAACTGGCGGGAGGCTCATCCAGATAAGTGATATTATTATTATTATTAAAGCTTTATTTTTATATTATGTATATATTAAAGTTTATTGCCAGTTCTCCTCTTCCGTTCTACGCCCTTGATTTGAGAACTGGCAGTAAATGTAAAATTAGAAGCATTAATATGTATTTCTTTAATGACGAATCACAAGTGTACATTGTGTTACCTACGTGAATAAATGATTTTTTAATTTTGAATTTTGAATTAATTTATACAACAATTGGTTAGTTTGCATATTAGTATTAGTTAGTATGGGTTTAAAAAAAAAGTGATATTGTCATCCCAGAGGGTTCGCAAGTGCGTTACTGGCTTTAATAATCGGCAAGCTCTTGAAGGACTCAAGTCGAATTGGTTCGGAAATACTTCAGTGTTCAGGTGGCCTTTCACATAGCGGTGGTGCGCGGTAAAAACTGCCTTAAAAACGATCAGTTGTGGAGCGACGTCTTTTTTTTGTTTTTTATAGAACATGTGTGTACTTATGTACACGCGTTAGAAGTTATACTTCTTTGACGTAACAAAATAAAAATCTTTTCAAACATGTTATTCTACGTTTGTAGAAAAAACGACACTAATAGAAAAAAATGTGTGCGTGTACTAGGTGTACACACGTAAGAAGTGAAACTTCTTTATGATCTTATTAGAAACTATTTCTTTAAACACAGTAAATTTTGATACACTGCCTAGCATACAATTTACAAATTAATTGCTGCAAATTGCGATTAGCAAATTTCAAGTCGAAAATGTAATCCGTTGTCAAACTTCAAAGTCTAAAACATACTATATGTCATATTTTAAAGCCGATAAAGAAGTTTGACTTCAAAAAGCAATATGGCGCGTAACGGAAAAATGTGACGCGTAACGCAAAAATGTTACACTAAATTTTTTTCCAACCCCGATAAAGAAGTTTCACTTCAAAAAGGTATTTAATACATTGAAAGTTTTATTATAACGCATTACCTAGTTAAATAAAGTTTATTTAATATGGGAGCGTTCAAGTATTACGTCACTAATTATTTCTTCATAATTAAAGAATTAATGGACAGCTAACATCAGGGTGTCGGTTTTATGTGACGGTGTGCGCGCGCATCGTGAAAATTTACTCTCATAATTTTTCCCTAACTCGCCAAAAGAAGTATGAATTCAAATAAATATATTACAAGTCACCATTAAACATATGGAATGGATTGGATTAAGAGGTTTAGAAGACTTTTACTTAATACAGCAGACATTTACCTGATAGAGCGAGCGTCGTTGTCATTGTGGTGAAAGCAGGATTCGGTGAAGCCACTCCAAGACCGATCAAACTTGCTAGACCTGTAAGAAATATTATCCACAGAATTAGCTACTGTATGTTCATATGAACCTCCCTCTAAAAAGTTCCACAGTGTAACAACTCTTTTTTTTATGGCTCTGGCACGATTTGTGCATTAGCCAGCGTCAAGTATAGGATTTTTTTATAATTCGTGCTTGTCTTTAGAAATTCGACCGTGTCCTCCATGTACGGTTTAAGCCCGGTACCGCACAACCCTCCCAAAGGCCGAGAACAAATTTAAATTAAATTAAAACTTGCCCTCGAACCGGGAATCGAACCCGGTACCCCTCAACTAGCTGCCACTTAATAAGACCGCTAGGCTATGGGGCTCATAGCCTAGCGGTAGCTTAACAACTCTTTCCATAGAACAAAAACAAAGTTTATAACTGTACGATCGAAGATCTTTAGCCGTTGTTACGTTCTTGTATCGTTCCTTTCTGTTCACGTTCATAAGTGTACTTGTTTACCTATATGAATAAAGTTTTTTGACAAATTTAACTAATGTATACAAAATATTGTAAAACTTATTCTAAATGGTAAGTGTGGAGTTTCTTGCCCATTCTTCTCCACTACCTTTTGGAAGGGGCAACTAGAATTCTCTTTATATTTTTTTTTAACGTTCAAAAGTGCCATTTTAGGTGGTCTAATTGAAATAATTGATTTGACTTTGACTTTTTGAGTTTGAGTTTGTATAAATTGCTAAATAATCAAATACAGTGAACTCTTAGAAGACATTAACACTGTCGCCCCTCATTACCAAGGTCTAAAATCAGCAGAATTATCCAAATTCCTTCTGCAAAAACCAACCTAGGAGTTGGATATTCAGTAGTGGGCTGATCAATTATAATCTTAATATATATAAATTACGTGTCACGTTGTTTGTCCGCTATGGACTCCTAAACTACCGAACCGATATCAATCAAATTTGCACACCGTGTGTAGTTTGATTCAACTTAAGATAGGATAGCTTACATCTCAATTTATACCCACAATATTATTTTATTGCGAAATATTTGTATATTATTTGATAGTCACAATTCTTACAGATGGCGCTGTGTTGAAAGTACCAACGTTTCACAATAAAGCTACAATTTAATGACATAACCACCAAAAAAGCATGGTGGTCCCCATGACTGGTGATCTCCTACCGTTTCCCTTGAATAGTTTACTACTATGTAATATAACAAAAACCTAAGCCACAGCAACGCTTGGCCGGTCTGCTAGTTATATATATTATATATATATAGGGTGTCTCAGTAAGAGTGCACTTTTTCATTTTTAAATAAAGACAAGTATTTTATGACAGAGTTCTGATATTTTTATTGTATTGTAAAGAAGACATGTTCCGATTAAGTATGGAATAAAATATCCGGCAAATGACCTCCACGGCTCCGATGACAGGCCTTACACTTTTCATTAAATTTTCCATGACTTTTGCACAAAGATGTGGCTGTATCTCACCGATGACGCGTTGGATTTCCGATTTCAGCTCAGGAATGCTTTCGGATATATTCGCATAAACTCGAGATTTCACAAAACCCCAAACAAAAAATCGCACGGCGTTAAATCGCACGATCTTGGTGGCCAGTTGACATCAGAATTTCGTGAGATAATGTGTTCTGTTCATCGGAGAAAATGACTTTTTTCGAAAAATTGGCATCGACGTCCCTTTGCTCCATTACTCATTGAGCAAATTGCCGGTGCTTTCCTTGGTCTGCTAGTTTGAGCTCCTGAGTTAGCTGAATCTTGTACGCATGAAGGTATTTAGTCAAAATTTGCTAAGTCGAATTGATGTTTTCGGGTATTCGGCGACACTCTCGTTTACAGCAACAATGTTTTCAAGGGACAGACCGGAACGCTGACGCAAAAGATTATTATTATCCATAATTGACCCAGTTTCTTAAAATTTTTTGACCGCTCTTCGAATGGTTGACACATTAGGTGCACTTTCTCGGCTGAAAATTTGGTGAATTTTGCGTGTTTTCATCGTTACTTTTGTAATGAATTTTCACAATAATAACGAGTTGTTCTTTCAAAAAGCGCAAAATTTCAGAGTTGTCACTTGCAGGAAAACAAAAATATTACAATTTTAAAAAGTGCACTCTTACTGAGACACCCTATATATATAGCATTGTTCACATACAGTGCCAATCTCGAACCTAATCCGCTGTTTTGCTGGCTTTTTTTCTCCTTAACAAAAAATTCTGATCAAAAACATACGACAGTAAAACTTACCCGTAGAATACAAAAAGGTATCTTTCAAGGTCTCGTTGAAGGGATTGGGCGGTTCCGTATTAGCCACAGCGGCGGCCTTAACTTGGGCGGGCGGCATGCTCTTCGTGGGCGGGGGCGGCCAAAGCAATTCTCCGGCCTTTAACACGATCGCCCCACGGGTCACTTCATCTTCTAGGTCGATGTTGAAATGGTCGTTGGTACCTGAAGATTAAAATTCATTTTTAACTGGAGACTTCAGTGCCTCTCAAACCTAAGTGCTTTTAATAAATAAAAAAAAAAGATCATCATCACAAAAACTCACTAATATCGTGAGAAAATCGTCATTCCTTAGACCCAAAACTAATCACTTCCTTGCCTATTATGAAAAATATGTGTGTGTACTTATGTACGCGTTTGAAGTTATACGTCTTTGGCGTAACAAGATAAAATATTTTCAAACATTTTATCTTTCGTAGAATAGGTACGTTTGGAGAAAAAACGACGCTAACAATAGAAAAAAGGTATTTAATACATTGAAAGTTTTATTACAACGCATTATCTAGTTAAATGAAGTTTATTTAAATATCACAAAAAATATTTCTACATAATTAAAGAAATGGACATGTTTTATTTTAAAATGTTGACTATGCTAACTTCAGGGTGTCGGTTTTTTGTGACGGTGTGCGGGTGTCGTAAAAATTTACTCTCATCATTTTTCCCTTTTTAGCTGCATGTGTAACCGTCAAAGGTAATTTATTTTCCTACTTTGCTAAACATTTAGTTTGTAAGTTTGTACCTACATTATATCAATTGAATGCCAGAGAAAAAGCTAATGTATGTACCTACATTAATTTTCTTATTTTTGAAGACTATTTAGTACTTACATTACCATTTTATTATTATAAAACAATGTACGGTATTGTTTAAAATAATAAAATTATGTTTATATGTTTACCTAGTTTCTTATCTGACATACCCAATCATGGGTAACTTTTATTAATTTGCAACACTAGAGCGACGGTGGCGCTACCACTCAGTTCACAGGTAAGTTGGTGGGACTATACTTAGAAGATGCCATACTAAATCCATGCAACTAATATCTATATGTCTCGCAATTAATATAAGTGATGATGACTTTTCTTTTGATTTTTTTATCACCTCTATAAGAAAATAAATTACGATTTTACAATTTTTTTAAGTTATACTTCTTTAGGCGCGTTATGAAAAATTGATGAGAGTGAAATTTTACGATCGCACCGTTATACAAACTTATCAGTATGAAGTTAGTGGCGCATGTTGGCACGCACACCGCCTCTGTTCACTGTGTATTTATATTTATAATATTTATTTGAGTTTGACCACAAGCTTTGAGTTTCTACATTTAAAACACGTGTTTTCATTTTGTTTTCATTATGTAAGTGCGAATTTTAAATGTGCGCCTGAATTATAATCAGAAGTGATTTAAATTGAATATTTAAATCAATATTAATTAATATTAGAAAATAATAATAAATATAATATTAATAAATATTGATTTATTTAATTTTTCAAATGTAAACTGAACGCTTTATTGACTATAATGACTCCATTTCCAGTCTTTGATTATTTAATTGTAATTAATTATTTGCATGCAATAAAAAACTATTTTTAATTATGCCAAAGAAGTATAACTTCTTACGCGCGTACATAAGTACACGCACCCTTTTTTTTAAATTTAAAACGGTATATCAAAATCGGTGCAGTACTTTCTGAGATGTGTATATAATTTTGACAGGTATTTATAGAATCTTGTGAAACTCACCCAAACTGAATAAAAACGCAGAAATATTATTCGCGTACAACGTAGACGCGTGCGCAGGCATTCTACTCGGCATGTCCGTTAGACCCACGTGCGTGACATCGTGTACCTTTATCACCTCCCCCTTTTTTGTCGTTTCAACGTTTCCCCCCATTTCGGCTGCTAAATCCACTATAACACTACCCGGTGCCATGTCTCGTACTGCGTCCTATCAGATATATTATTAATGTGACATTTAAATACAGACAAGGTAAGTATGTCTAAACTGAAATCAGTTAAGAATTAGTGATGCCACGGAAGTGTCCTAGCGGAACCGGAAACGGATGCAGAAATGGTAGTGTAAATAATATGAAAATAAAAACAAATTTACAAATATATTTCTTTATTAAGTATCAACTACACCAAATCTAGATTAGAAATAGATGTATTATAAATCTACTATAGAAAACAATATTGCAACTTTGCAACTGAACGTTGTATGCTCACTGGAGACGCTGCTGGGTGGTACCGACGAATATTGGCGCACTAATGGCAAAAGATTAGGGTATTTGTGTGAACTTAATTTCCACCACAAAAGAGGATCTTCATTTAAAGATAATCGCTTTTCTTTTTTTTTCTCCTGAAAATGTGAAACTTCCGAATGTATCCCCGTTATAAAAGTAGCAGAAACGAATGTTGAAAAGCGCGCGGAACGTCCGCACTTGCGGAAACAGAAACAGAGATCCGTTGCATCACTATTAAGAACTGTCAACATAAAACTATTTATTCCTACATATTAACTGTTTACTGGTTACTTCTAGTAAAATATTAAAATATAAATGGACAGGACACATTATGAGAGAAGATAAAGATAAATGGACGAAGAAAGCGACGGAATGGCTTCCTCGCTATGAGAAAAGAAAACGAGGAAGACAAATAAAAAGATGGGAAGATGATGTGCGAAGAGCAGCTGGCCCTATGTGGCTACGTAAAGCTCGAAATAGAGAAGAGTGGAAGCTCTTAGAGAAGGCCTATGTCAAGGACAAGCTTTAAAATAGAAATTAACCGGCTTGCCGATTAATTATTAGTGTTTTTTTTTATTTTTAGTGTTAATTTATTAGCACTTCACATTTTTATGTACAGATACCGGCAAACATCTTGAACATTAAACAAGGGAGTGGAGGAATATTTGCGTAGCGCGGGACACAAACGTCAACTGATTTACCAATCACGCGATGTCACTCTGTCGCGCACCACCGCCCTCCCTCCCAGTGATACCTAAAGATCGCTACTGCGCAGACAAGGACATTTATTCAAGATGTTTACCGGTATCTGTACTAGTATAAGTAATTACAGCAATAAAAGCTTTTATTATTTGTTATTAATATATTAACTGTTCGTCTTTTTTGTTTCTCATATTTGTCATCTGTCAAGTTTTGCGAAATTTTAGGTTGGTACAATTGCAAAGACACTTATGAGTTGGATATGTTTTACAAAATTTAAAATACATACCTCTAGAATAAGCAACGGCGCAGGCTTTCCCGGTATCAGAGCTGTTGTTATAACCACGTCGGAAGTCCTCGCCTCTTTGCCGAGCAGCGCACGTTCAGCCAAAAGAAACTCGTCACTCATTTCTTTCGCATAACCACCTTCACCAGCACCTTCTTCCTGTAATTTGGTAATGCTAGATACAAATCTAAATGAATTTATATCGGTATAGACTTTTCTTTATAGGGAGAGAAGAGAAAAAAAACAAATTTAACCAATTACAATAATTTATATATATAATAGATCCAAAATTCCCTATTGTTAATGCAATTAGGGGGCGGCCATAAATTACGTGAGGTATTTTTTTTTAATTTTCTGTAGCTCCCTCCCCCCCTGGTGAGATGTCGTGAGATTTTATTCAACCCTCTCCCCCATCCCCCAATCTCACGTGAGATTTTTCAAAATGTGGGTTTCTTAAGTAAACACGTCGGGTTGTTATTGTAAAATGTTGTTGTTGAGCGTTAAGGTTTGGAGTTAGCGGGAAGTTGCAGAGATGGCCTTTAGGGTCAACCGTTTTTCTAAAAAAATTTTTCAATCAGGAAAAAAATTGCGTGATATTTGCCGAGACGTAAGCTCCAACGTAAGATTAAATGAGATTTGACTCGACCCCCCCTTAAACACCTCACGTAATTTATGGACGCCCCCTTAACAATAACAAAGCGAGACGGTTGTTTATGACCTCAGGTGTCTTTCTTAGAAATTTCGGCACCTCAATAGGTTGGTTTTGTAAGCTGATTATAAAAACAATTACACTTAAGTATGTTGTTGATGTCTAAATATGAAAATATTTCTTCTTTATAGAGAATAGCTGTTGCCTGTGTGTGTTGTTAATTCTGTTCTGTTGTTAATTCTGTTCTGTTGTTAAGTCTGTGCTGTTGAGTGAATTCGTTATAACCAGATCGGCTGGACAGATGTTAGTTATCTCTTTTTGAATGGATTCTTCTCCGCTCCGAATAGCAGAATAAGTGATAAATCGGATAAGTTATCGAATAACAATAAATAAATTAATTAATTTTACGAATGCGAACACCATGTCGTGCCATCTGTTGACAAAATTACGCATCATTTTACATTGAATTCGGGTCAGTTCAAGAAATTCCGATCTTGAGGTGAATGAGGAGATGCATAACCAGGCTTTGATCTTGATCGAAGACATGTTAAAAAAATCAGTGGCGCTACAACCTCTTTAGGTCTTGGCCTCAGATTTCTGAATCTGTTTCATGATCATTTTTAAATCTTATAGGCAAGTAGGTGATCAGCCTCCAGTGACTGACACACGCCGTCGACTTTGTGGGTCTAAGACATGTCGGTTTCCTCGCGATGTTTTCCTTCACCGTTCGAGCAAATGTTAAATGCGCACATAGAAATAAAGTCCATTGGTACTCAGCTGTGGATCGAACCTACGACCTCAGGTATGAGAGTCGCACGCTGAATCCACTAGGCAAACACTGCTCTCACTCTGAAGACATGTGTTACCTCATCAAAAAATGTTGTATATCAGAAAGTGCTTTAACATGCAGTATCGCAATATTGGCGCTAGAGAGAAGAGGCCTGTTGGCGACTCATAGATTTAAGTAGTATTAAGTATGAGCTATATGTTAAATATGAATATTGTTTGCAGCTCGTAAGTGGTAATTAAGTATGAGCTATAAGTAAAATAAGAATATTGTTGATAGCTCATAAGTAGAAATTAAGTATAAATAAGTTAGGTAAAATATGTAAAGAAAAATATAGTTAAATAAATTATAAAATGCTTCGCCGAATAAAAGGGTCGCGTAGCTCTCGTCGCGGTATACGCGCGCAGATGGCTGTAAGCGCAGCTCTCGTCGCGGTATACTGTCGAAGTACTTAAGCTCGGCGAGATTTACGCAAAATCCTCTCTTTCCTCCGACAACGAACTGGGACCCACGAATCATCGGCGAAGCAAGAAACAAGAACAAGGCGCAGTTTCATTTCAAGACAACATCCTACAATTACGCACTAGCAGGGGTGCGTGGGTTGAGGCGGTGCCAGCGATACGTCAAACCGTCTCGACAAAACGTACGTAGTCAAACCCCACCGGTATTCAAAGCCGCGCCGAGGTTACTTTGGTTACTGCACGGGTGTTCTCAAACGAACATCTAAACGTATAATCCTGTGCAGGCCCGAGTCTCTGAGGTGTCGTGGGGGTTGGCATCAACAGTGGTCCTTCGAGCGCCGGATCCTGCAACGGTTGTCAACAAGAAGTGAATACTGCGAAAAGAAAATGCCAGTCACAAGGTCACAGAACGGGATGCAGCAAGGGGAAACGACGACGACTGTTACCTCCGCCACTACGTCCGAAGTCCGGACCACAGGCGAAGAGATAACGATAGAGCAGTCAACGTCGACGAGCGCAGCCAGCCAGCCAGATCAAGCTTTGCTTCTGGCACCAGCGGGTTCCACCCGGCGGGCCGCATCGAGAGCCATATCCAGAGCCAGCTCAAGAAGACAAGCCGAGGCCAGAGAAGAGCTGGCTCGCTGCGAGCTGCGGGAAGCGCAGGCAGCAGCACACCTGGCCAGATTACGATTAGAAGCAGAAACGGAAGAAGACTCCTTTATAGAAGATGTCAACGATAACCATGAAGAAAAGGTAGCAAATTGGATGCGCTCTTCGGCACAAAGGCCAGAAGAAATAGAAACAAAGAGCGACATTCGAGTAATAGCTGACGCAATAAAGGAAGCCATGACGACACATGTAGCGCCGCAACCGAAGTACATTCAAGAGCTGCCAATATTTGAAGGCGACAGCTCCGAATGGACGGCGTTCCGAGTCGTATATGAAGACACATCTCCGATGTTCTCTGGCATACAGAATATGGCGCGGCTACGTAAAGCGATTAAAGGCACGGCAAGAGAAAGCATTAAGAGCCTCTTATACTCAGAGGCAATGCCAGAAGAAGTTATTAACGCTTTACGCCGAAGATTTGGTAGACCCGACGCGCTGGTGCTAGCTGAACTGGAGAAATTAAAGGCGCTTCCCAGAACGACGGAAAATCCCAGGGACATATGCGTCTTCGCTAGCCAAATAAATAACAGCGTGGCCGCCATAAAGGGATTGAAGAGGCCGCAATACCTCTACTCACCTGAAATCGTGAAACTTATAATAGAGAAGATGCCTCCAATTCTCAGATTCAGATGGTACGATTTCACGGCTGCGAGGGAAGAGGAATCGTTCAGTGATATCCAATCGATAAGCAACTTCCTCAATTTAGAAGCGGACAAATGCGGCGCATTCGCGGTACTCGAAGACAGCAAAAGCGTACGACCGAGCGCAGCGATAAGAAGGCCAGTGAAGCAAGCTACGTATAATATCGCTGAAAGGAGTAGACCTGAAGAAATCAAGTGCCCAGACTGTGAAGGCACACATAAACTCAAAGACTGCCAAAGATTCCTAAAAGCGGCAGTCAACGAGAGATGGGAAACAGTTAAGAGGCTTAAGGTCTGCTTCAAGTGTCTCGCTGGGAAGCACCGGAAAGAAATATGCCGAAGACCACCGTGCAAGTTGTGTCGAAGATGGCACCATAGCCTACTACATGTGACGTCGGAGAGCGAACAATGTCACGAAGAGGCAGCGACGGTCAATACAATAAGCACACCGAAAGCTATTCTTAAGATGCTCAAGGTGGAGATATACGGACCGGCTGGGAGCAAACAAGTACTGGCGCTGCTAGATGAAGGCTCAACGGTGACACTGCTCGACGAAAACGTGGCTTCGAGCATCGGCATCCAGGGTCCTCGCGAAACCCTGAATATAGAAACTATCGGCGGAGGGCAAATGAAAAATCACGACTCCATGATTTTAGACATCGAAGTGAAAGGGATCAAGCAAAGCGAGAAAAGTACACTCAAGAGGGCAAGAACTATCAAGGAGCTCAAATTAACCCCACAACTCGTAGATAAAAGCCGACTAAAGAAGTGTAATCACTTGCGGGGTTTACTACAAGACGTGTCCTACGAAGCTGAGGCGCCGAAGCTGCTCATTGGCCAAGACAATTGGGAATACATTGTCTCGTTACAAATACGACGTGGAAAGCTAGGGCAGCCGGTGGCGTCACGAACAAAGTTAGGATGGGTTCTCCACGGCTCCGACAGCAGCGGCGTGTCTCCGATCAATTATGTGAACACATGTGCACACGCAAACGTCGTCGAAGACAAAATAGATCAGCTGGTGAGGGAACACTTCACTATTGAGTCTTTGGGGGTTCAGCCGAAGAAGCCTTCAACGGATATAGAACAGCGAGCACTAGACATATTGGAAAGAACCAGCCGACAGTTGGAAGATGGCAGATACGAGGTCGGACTAATGTGGAAAAAGGAGGACATACAACTTCCAAACAATTACGCAGCAGCTTTCAACAGATTTCAAGGCATAGAAAAAAAGCTGCGTAAGGACGCTAAATTAAAAAATGAGTATAGCGCGCAGATAGACAATCTGTTGAAAAGCAACTACGCTGAAGAAGCACCAGCCGACTGCACATCCAACAAAAAATGGTACCTGCCTCACTTCCCAGTGGTTCACCCTCTGAAAAAGAAGCTGAGAATTGTTTTCGACGCTGCGGCCAAATACAACGGAGTCAGCCTCAACGACGTTCTGCTGTCCGGCCCGGACTTACTGCAGTCAATATTTGGAGTACTACTGCGATTCCGTCAAGGCCCTGTAGCAATATCGGCCGATATAAAGGAAATGTTTCTGCAAGTGAAAATACGTAAAGAAGATAGAGCTGTCTCTATCTTCTTTACGTGTACGTTCTCAGGTTCCTATGGCGAAAAGACAAGGAAGCGCCAGTGAAGGAATACAGAATGACATCAGTGATATTTGGAGCTGCGTCGTCGCCTTGCACCGCTATTTATATAAAAAACAAGAACGCAAAGATCCACTTACATAAATATCCAGAAGCGGCGCAAGCAATAGAGCGCAATCACTATATGGATGACTATTTGCAAAGCTTCCACAGTGTTGACGATTGCAAACGAGTAATGCAGCAAGTCGACTTAATCCACCAGAGGGCGCACTTCGAGCTACGAGGATGGGCGTCGAATAAGAAAGAGATCGTAGAAGCCGA